AGCACATATAGGTTATAGGTGCATTAATAACGTCAGCATATATAGGTTATAGGTGCATTAATAACGTCAGCACATATAGGTTATAGGTGCATCAATAACGTCAGTATATATAGGTTATAGGTGCATTATTAACGTCAGCACATATAGGTTATAGGTGCATTAATAACGTCAGCACATATAGGTTATAGGTGCATTAATAACGTCAGCACATATAGGTTATAGGTGCATTAATAACGTCAGCACATATAGGTTATAGGTGCATTAATAACGTCAGCACATATAGGTTATAGGTGCATCAATAACGTCAGTATATATAGGTTATAGGTGCATTAATAACGTCAGCATATATAGGTTATAGGTGCATTAATAACGTCAGCACATATAGGTTATAGGTGCATCAATAACGTCAGCATATATAGGTTATAGGTGCATTATTAACGTCAGCACATATAGGTTATAGGTGCATTAATAACGTCAGCACATATAGGTTATAGGTGCATTAATAACGTCAGCACATATAGGTTATAGGTGCATTAATAACGTCAGCACATATAGGTTATAGGTGCATCAATAACATCAGCACATATAGGTTATAGGTGCATTAATAACGTCAGCACATATAGGTTATAGGTGCATTAATAACGTCAGCACATATAGGTTATAGGTGCATTAATAACGTCAGCACATATAGGTTATAGGTGCATTAATAACGTCAGCACATATAGGTTATAGGTGCATTAATAACGTCAGCACATATAGGTTATAGGTGCATCAATAACGTCAGTATATATAGGTTATAGGTGCATTAATAACGTCAGCATATATAGGTTATAGGTGCATTAATAACGTCAGCACATATAGGTTATAGGTGCATCAATAACGTCAGCATATATAGGTTATAGGTGCATTATTAACGTCAGCACATATAGGTTATAGGTGCATTAATAACGTCAGCACATATAGGTTATAGGTGCATTAATAACGTCAGCACATATAGGTTATAGGTGCATTAATAACGTCAGCACATATAGGTTATAGGTGCATCAATAACATCAGCACATATAGGTTATAGGTGCATTAATAACGTCAGCACATATAGGTTATAGGTGCATTAATAACGTCAGCACATATAGGTTATAGGTGCATTAATAACGTCAGTATATATAGGTTATAGGTGCATTAATAACGTCAGCATATATAGGTTATAGGTGCATTAATAACGTCAGCACATATAGGTTATAGGTGCATTAATAACGTCAGTATATATAGGTTATAGGTGCATTAATAACGTCAGCATATATAGGTTATAGGTGCATTAATAACGTCAGTATATATAGGTTATAGGTGCATTAATAACGTCAGCACATATAGGTTATAGGTGCATTAATAACGTCAGCACATATAGGTTATAGGTGCATTAATAACGTCAGTATATATAGGTTATAGGTGCATTAATAACGTCGGCACATATAGGTTATAGGTGCATTAATAACGTCAGTATATATAGGTTATAGGTGCATTAATAACGTCAGCATATATAGGTTATAGGTGCATTAATAACGTCAGTATATATAGGTTATAGGTGCATTAATAACGTCAGCATATATAGGTTATAGGTGCATTAATAACGTCAGCACATATAGGTTATAGGTGCATTAATAACGTCAGCATATATAGGTTATAGGTGCATTAATAACGTCAGCACATATAGGTTATAGGTGCATTAATAACGTCAGCACATATAGGTTATAGGTGCATTAATAACGTCAGCATATATAGGTTATAGGTGCATTAATAACGTCAGCATATATAGGTTATAGGTGCATTAATAACGTCAGTATATATAGGTTATAGGTGCATTAATAACGTCAGCACATATAGGTTATAGGTGCATTAATAACGTCAGCACATATAGGTTATAGGTGCATTAATAACGTCAGTATATATAGGTTATAGGTGCATTAATAACGTCAGCACATATAGGTTATAGGTGCATTAATAACGTCAGTATATATAGGTTATAGGTGCATTAATAACGTCAGCATATATAGGTTATAGGTGCATTAATAACGTCAGTATATATAGGTTATAGGTGCATTAATAACATCAGCATATATAGGTTATAGGTGCATTAATAACATCAGCACATATAGGTTATAGGTGCATTAATAACGTCAGCACATATAGGTTATAGGTGCATTAATAACGTCAGCATATATAGGTTATAGGTGCATTAATAACGTCAGCACATATAGGTTATAGGTGCATTAATAACGTCAGCATATATAGGTTATAGGTGCATTAATAACGTCAGCATATATAGGTTATAGGTGCATTAATAACGTCAGCACATATAGGTTATAGGTGCATTAATAACGTCAGCACATATAGGTTATAGGTGAATTAATAACGTCAGCACATATAGGTTATAGGTGCATTAATAACGTCAGCACATATAGGTTATAGGTGCATTAATAACGTCAGCACATATAGGTTATAGGTGCATTAATAACGTCAGCACATATAGGTTATAGGTGCATTAATAACGTCAGTATTTATAGGTTATAGGTGCATTAATAACGTCAGCACATATAGGTTATAGGTGCATTAATAACGTCAGCACATATAGGTTATAGGTGCATTAATAACGTCAGCACATATAGGTTATAGGTGCATTAATAACGTCAGCACATATAGGTTATAGGTGCATTAATAACATCAACACATATAGGTTATAGGTGCATTAATAACGTCAGCATATATAGGTTATAGGTGCATTAATAACGTCAGCACATATAGGTTATAGGTGCATTAATAACGTCAGTATATATAGGTTATAGGTGCATTAATAACGTCAGCACATATAGGTTATAGGTGCATTAATAACGTCAGCACATATAGGTTATAGGTGCATTAATAACGTCAGTATATATAGGTTATAGGTGCATTAATAACGTCAGCACATATAGGTTATAGGCCAAAACAATATTAATAATCGGCTCTCGACCCCTAGTTTATTTCCTGTACTTTCATTTCTTTTACCATCTGGCTTCGTGTTTTGGGACGAGCTCCTCTCCACTTGAGAACCAGGAGCAGCACAGAGCGTGTCCGTCTCTCTGGGAACCCCTCCTAGTGGGGGAGCCTTGGTGGAGTACAGAGCGTGCTCAGCCCTGGGGTGGTGGGTTAAATTACTAAAGAATGTGCTGAGTGAGAGTGTTGTCCCGCTTCACACACACATTCGGCGGGACAGAGACGAGTCCGTGAGCAGCAAACACAACACCAAGCCAATCAACACCCCTCCCCCTTATGAGGGCCGACGGTTTGTAAAAATGCCAGTGCCGAGTTTTGGTCCCAGTCCACCGCTGCTAGTTGCCCCTATCTTGGTGCCTGTATGCTGGGGTTTACCCCAGTGAACGAGAGGGTAGCCTCCCAATGCCTACGTGTGGGGGGACGGGTCCTGGCTGTGGTTTGTGCTCATGCACCAAACTACAGCGCAGACTACAGAGTTTCTCCTAAGAGGTACCCCCCCCCAACCCCTGCTCTCAAGGACGACGCACGGCAGCCAAGGTGTTGTGGGGATCCGATTTGGTGGCCTGAGTATCGGGTCTCTTCTTTAAGCAGATGATGTGGTCCTTTTGGTTTCATCAGAACGTGATCTCCGGCTTTCGCTGGAGCGGTTCGCAGCCAAGTGAGAATCAGCTCCTCTAAATCCAAGAACGCCTTGGGATTCCCCCGGAGGAGCTGGCCCAAGTGGCTGGGGAGAGGGAAGTCTGGGCGTCTCGACTTAGGCTGCTGCCCCCGCGACCCGACTCCGGATAAGCAGAAGAAAATGGATGGATGGATGACATAATACTGTAGATTAAGACATTTTACTCTATCTAAAATGTAAAAATGAATCCTTCCAGATGAATAAACACGTTCACTGGCTAACTAGCTAACTAGCTAGCTAACATGAGACAGGATGATTGAGTGAGTAGTGTGAGCAGGTCAGTGATGAATCAGACTTCACTTATTCTGACTGGCTGATTTTCATAATCCACTCTCATCCTGTTGGGATCCACGGTTAGAAGACAGCCCCACAATCAGCCAATCAGAATACTACAAAAGTGAGATGAGATTAGAATAGATTAGAGCCAACCCTGAAACATGCAGCGGGATGAGGTTCTGTTAGCCCGACTGAAGATGACCAAATATGGATTCATACAAGAGACATGAGGCGTCTGATTGGCTGTAAAGTGGGGTCATCTGAGATCAAACCAGCCGCCACCATCGGCATGATGGCTGTGAAGATCCTGTTACACAGAGGTGTAAACAAAGCACAGGGGGGGGGGGGGGGGTCACATCAATGCGTCTGATCCGACCCAAACATCCTGCAGCACCAGGAAGGTCCCGGCAGGAAATCAGAATGAAACTGTGAATGTTTGTGAGTGTGATCCCAAACTGAACACATGACAGCGACATGAGTGAAAACATGAATCACCAAGAAACTAAACCGAAGGACCAAGAGTTGCTTTCACCAAAACCGCCGGTCCTCCGTCAAAACCACTTCCTGTCAGGTCAGGGACACATCTTCCTGTCAGCGCTGGCGGCTCAATCGTCTTTCACCGCTCATTCAGGTGGGAGACACCGTGGACAGGTTTCATGTCCCTCACACACACACACACACACACACATACGCACACACACACACACACACACGCGCACGCACGCACGCACACACACACACACACACACGCACACATACACACACACACACACACACACGCGCACGCACGCACACACACACACACACAGCTATCCAGCTTGTTTTAGTTGAGTCCCAGCTCTAACACATCTGACACACGTGAGCAGCAGGTTATGGCGCTATGCAGAAGCCCGGTAATCACCTGTTTTACTTAAACCAGGTACGTTGAAGCAGGGAAACAACTAAAACATGTGGATAGTGGCCTTTGAGGGGAGTTGCCCACCCATGATTTAATCTCCAATCAGCCTAATGGGCATGCTGCAGCTTTTACTTTGCTGAATTTAGTTACGGCTGAATGGTTGGTGGCGCTGATGCCTTGCAGCAAGATGGTTGCAAGTTTGAATCCAAGCTGCTGCCTTTCGGCATGGAGAAACCTGCTGCCTAACCCTTCAACACAGTTGATTCACCTGTTCAGTAGCTCATCAGGCTCTGCAGAAGCCTGTTAATTAAAATTGGGTGTGCTGAAGCAGGGAAACCTCTAAAACGTGCTGGATAGTGGCTCTCGGGGACCAGGGCTCCCTACCCCTGCCCTAACTTGTCCCTGGGTGTCCCTGTGATGGACTAGAGACATGTCCAGCAGAAGGTTGAGGGACTGGATGAATCTTTTGACCATCGACCACAGCCTGATCCCTTTACCGTTTGTTTAGGGCTGGTATATCTTTTTCATTGAAGCTAAAACACAAAGTGTGCACGTGAAATGCACTCCATGAAATCCATTTTAATCTCTTTCCTTCTTTTCCCCCAAACTTTCTATTCCACAATCTAAAATCATTCATCCAGAAAAAAGGCTGAATGTGGAGAGAAACGTGAAAAGTGTGGATTCACGATGATGTCATCACAGATTTTAAGGCTTTTCCTTCGATTTCGCCGTTTTGTTGAGATTTTGAGATGTAATTTTTTATTTTTCCACCATGACTGAGACAAACACTTGTTTTTGTATGGGAGGTGTGATGGAGACATTCAGAGGGGTCCGATGCCCCCACGGAGCAGGAAGCTCACGCCACAGGCATATAACAGGAAGTTCATAACTTTTCCACTTCTAGCCAGCTTTTTTTTCTATAAATAAAACAATTAAATACACAAATATTCAACACAGTGTCGACATTTCAGACAGAACCAGATTAAACGTCAGATCCTGCAGCAGAACTAAAATGTTTCAACACAAAAGTAAATATGTCTGCAGAGAAAAAGCATTTTAAGTTTGTAAATAACTGAGAGCAGAGTGTGTGTGTGTGTGTGTGTGTGTGTGTGTGTGTGTGTGTGTGTGTGTGTGTGTGTGTGTGTGTGTGTGTGTGTGTGTGTGTGTGTGTGTGTGTGTGTGTGTGTGTGTGTGTGTGTGTGTGTGTGTGTGTGTGTGTGTGTGTGTGTGTGTGTGTGTGTGTGTGTGTGTGTGTGTGTGTGTGTGTGTGTGTGTGTGTGTGTGTGTGTGTGTGTGTGTGTGTGTGTGTGTGTGTGTGTGTGTGTGTGTGTGTGTGTGTGTGTGTGTGTGTGTGTGTGTGTGTGTGTGTGTGTGTGTGTGTGTGTGTGTGTGTGTGTGTGTGTGTGTGTGTGTGTGTGTGTGTGTGTGTGTGTGTGTGTGTGTGTGTGTGTGTGTGTGTGTGTGTGTGTGTGTGTGTGTGTGTGTGTGTGTGTGTGTGTGTGTGTGTGTGTGTGTGTGTGTGTGTGTGTGTGTGTGTGTGTGTGTGTGTGTGTGTGTGTGTGTGTGTGTGTGTGTGTGTGTGTGTGTGTGTGTGTGTGTGTGTGTGTGTGTGTGTGTGTGTGTGTGTGTGTGTGTGTGTGTGTGTGTGTGTGTGTGTGTGTGTGTGTGTGTGTGTGTGTGTGTGTGTGTGTGTGTGTGTGTGTGTGTGTGTGTGTGTGTGTGTGTGTGTGTGTGTGTGTGTGTGTGTGTGTGTGTGTGTGTGTGTGTGTGTGTGTGTGTGTGTGTGTGTGTGTGTGTGTGTGTGTGTGTGTGTGTGTGTGTGTGTGTGTGTGTGTGTGTGTGTGTGTGTGTGTGTGTGTATAAAACCTACAGGCGTTTGATTCCAGATTCTGGCGGGGCAGAAGACCGGGAGCGAGTCCTCAGTTCAGGAGACGGAGACTCAATCTCGTCTTCTGCTTCATCGCTGCAAAGGCAGAAACCAGATAGAAATAAGAGTCTCCCCCAGATCTGTGAGGAGTTCACCCAGAGAGCCGTGCTCTGTTGAATAAAACCTGGGGGCTTCTTGCTGACAGGAGAGAAGAAAAACAAGCCTGAGTTGGAGCAGAACATCTTAGCTCATATGACACGCTGCAATCAACCAATCACAATCTTTCTTCATCAGTGTGTGGAAGGAGACGGCGTGTGTTTAAACGACAGCTCAAACATCAAGGTCGGTGCTGCAAAGGGATGAAACTATGAAGATGCTAACGGACGTTTTAAGAAAGCGACGCATCTGAAGGACATCTGGAGGGTTTTCAGCAGTAATCTCTGGTGGACATGAATTAAACAAGGCTTGGGCGGGATTATCGTACACGGGCAGTGTTAAAAAATAGCAGCAGTGTCAGTTCCAATACCGTCACGAAAAAAAACACGTAGAAGACGAGGATAAAAATAAAATAAAAAGATAAATAAAAGTCATTTAATGTATAAAACAGAAGTGCGTTACACTGGCAGGATTCTGTCGGTGATTTCAGTTCAACCTTCTTCTTAAGCGTCTGACCTGAAAGAATATAATCTATACGTAAAAAGCTAACAGGTTAACAGTGAACAAGTCATCTGGGGATGAACTTTTAAAACTAATGTTACTTATGCACAGCCAGACAGGACGTTCAGAGCTGAAGGAAAAGTTTGTGTTTTTCGCTGAAAGATAAAAACAAGGTATTTCCACGACGCTAGCTACTACATCATGTGACACTGCTAGAGATCAGAGAGAGAAATAAAGTCACAGGAACTGTTAGGGCCGCCGCCGTGTTGGAGCCCCAGTGTGTGTGCAGCACTTCCTGGCCCAGGGTGTGCCGTTTCCCTGTTCAGCAGTGCAGCACCTTGGACAGCTGCCCTTGGGAAACAACCAGCTTTCCTCCAGGACCATGGACAGCACCAGGGCGGCAGGCACGGCCCGCTGGGACTGATCCGGGGAGAGAAGTTGTTTGTGGGTTGCAGCAGCAACTGGTGTTCTCTTCCCTTGTGCTTCTCGGCTCCGTCTAAACCTTTTGCAGTTTTGTGCTTGCTGCTAGAGAGAGTAGGTAGAATTTTTGAAGTTTGGACAGTTTCAGTTAGTTTGGCTCGTCTTTCAGACACACCTTGGTTAACTACCCGGTGGGTTTTTGCCCGTTTTGGATTTCCAGTCCCCTTTCAACAAAGGAGAGTAATTTTAGGATTTCCAGTGCCTGGACGTTCTCAGTTAATTTGGTAATCTTAGTTTGGTTCGTCTTTTAGACCCACCATGGCTAATTTCTAGGTGAGGGTTTTGCCCCCCCCCTTTTAGTAAACCTGTGGAGACAAGGACATTTTGAGTTGGTTTTGCTTTGTCATGCCTTCCCCCCCTTGAGGGTGACCTTACGTTAGACTCGTCCATTTTATGTTTCCCCTCCTCACCTTCCTAGCTGAGCCCACTGTAGGGGGTAACAGGAATCATACAATCACGAGTGTCCTCAGGCTAAGATGCTCCTGATCACCTCTTGTAGTAGGCCAGCTCCTCCTGCAGCAGGAACACCTTGGCCTTCAGCTCGTTCCTCTCATGCAGGACGTCCCTCAGCTCCTGCAGGGTGAACCGAGGCCTGTTGGGGTCCTTGAGGTCCAATCCGCCCGACTCCTCCTCACAAAACGCCTCCTGAGAAGGAAAAATCCCACATGCTAAAGGAGAGAGTCAAAGGAAAGGGCGGAAGCAGGGAGGAAGTGAGGGTACCTTGGTGAAATATTGGAACACAGCAGGCATGTCCTCATCGCACATCGCCTCCTGGTGGCAAATGTTGAACTGTAAGTCAGACATCGCCCTCTTTGTTCCAATACTTTGTTTAGTTTAGTTTTTCTAGAGTCAGCCCAACAGAAACAGCCAGGGTCTGGTAAAGAAAAACTCCAGCTCTGAGCAAACAAACGGTCCGGATTCTAGAAATAATACCTACACCTAGCTGGTGTGTGTGTGTGTGTGTGTGTGTGTGTGTGTGTGTGTGTGTGTGTGTGTGTGTGTATAATATCTAATTAAATACTGAACAGGTTTTAATGAAACTCTCAGAAAGCAAACCCTGGCTCTCCATCGTGTGGCCTAGATGTCGACCGGTACGGTTTTTCTATCGCCGATAGGATGCCGATGTGAAAGAGACACTTTCCACCTTATTTTAATACTAAATCTGAACTTATTCAGTGTTAAAGTTAGTCCCCTACGTAAAGCTAATTAAGAGCATTTATTATGCAGCTATTAGTGAACATAAACATACATCTGAATGAAATTCTGCAACAGCACCAAGATGTGCCTGACTTTAATCGGCTGAACTAAGGACAAATATCCCGTATGGTTGCGTCTGCCCCGTGTGAACCCTATGCAGTGTGGCTGCCACAGACACCAGAGCTTAGAAATCTGTTTAAATAAGAGTTTTAAGGTTCAAATGCTATTTTAGTTGTTAAAATAAAGAAACTTTAAGGAAACATCAAGAACGGTCAGGCAGGAAAACAAAAGACAAAAAGGAAAGAAAACCGTCATCCTTCCCTGCTAACAACTCAACAGCATCAGTCCAAAAGGCTTCAGAGGAGCTCAGATCCATCTGAGTCAAGTTGAACCAGCGGAGAAATGTAATCTTAAGGTTTCGACTCATCTGGAGGCAGTGTGGTGGCGTGTGCCTCCAACACTCACAGCTACACAGCAGATCTGGAGACAAAAAGCTGAAATGAATCATTTTCCAGACGGTTTAGTTCCCTTTGTCTTCGCTTACTAACATAAATGGTAACTGTGCAGTTTTACACACACCGCTCCCCACGGGGACGGGTCAAACGCGGACCGGTGTGTGACGATGACTACGGGACGTAAGCTACAGTAGATGAGTGAACATCAGAACCACTTCAGGAATCCCGGCAGACGGAACAAGCCCCTCAGCTGGAGGCTAGGCCAGCTTTCGCTTTGCTTTATGAGCACGGAGGAACATTTAGGTGCTGTTAGGGTGTACTTTCTTCTTCCGGCTCTTGGAGAGTACAGACGCTTTTTTCTCCTCTCCCTCCCTCCTCCTCCCAAGGCTCTTTGTCATGTGTTGTGCACGGCGCTTTCTGCATTTTTTCTGGAAACTGGAGATTATTAAACATGGACCTGGTCAGTTGGTCTCTCAACGCGATTGATAAGATTTTTTCAGTGATGAGAACGGGAGAAGGGGCTCCCGGTTGCCCTTCTGGGACAGAGCCAGCTGGGTATATCATGGACTCCTGGAAACAGTGGAACATGATCTGCCTCTCTCAATTGTCTGTAGAGGATTCTGAAGACGTCTGGATATTCGTGGTTTTGGTGTCGGGATTCCTGCTGTTTGGCCTGAGCGGTTATCTGGCTTACCGGAACATTAACGAGCTTTCGAGGAATATTGGCTCAATCCGGGTGCTCAGGGATGGATTACACCGCGCTGTAAACTCAGACTCATATAATTGTCGAGATGAGTTGTAAGCTTGGAACTTTGGCTGAGATTCAGGCTCTGGCACAGAAGGTGGATTCCATCAAGGAGCGAGTGGATGGATCAGCACGGATTGGGATAGATTAATTACGCCATTATTGGATCTAGAGGGGTTGAAGACCAACAGAACTTTAAGACAGAGAGGAAGTTATCTCTGTCTGTCCCCAAAACCATTCTTATCTGAATCTGGTGCCCTTGAGCCTGTGAGGCTGAAGTAAAAACTCCCCTCAGAAGAAATGTGGAATGCTGCCGTCGCCATGGAAACCCTTTCTCCCTATCCCAGCCTGGGCGGGACTGTGACCGGTGAAGGTCGTGGAACCGTATCTAGGAGTCACTGTGCCCTCTAACCCATTATCTCCCTCCCCTGTCCAAATGGAGGTGATGAGCGCTGCTCCATGTGGCTGCACGCGCTGAAGTGAGGAGAGTCCCAACCCTACCTCCCCACCTAGTGGACACTTCTGTTGTGTGATGTCTGAAGTCTTTTGGATTTCTGTCTGAGGTGTTTTTTTGCATAGCAAAGCTATTCTTTCTATCGAGGGTAACTCTGAAGTGCCTTTTTCCCTCCCCCTGACTCAATCCTCACATAAACCCTCTTGATCTACTACGGTAGCGCGACTCGGGTTGCGAATGACCACAGTCACCAATTCTTGTCATGTGTCTATGTATGTAAGTCTGATCTCAGAATTGTGTGTACTGAATCCCTCTGCGATTAATAAAGTATTTTTGAATTGAATTGAATTGAATTGGTCGTCTCACTGGTCTATATTCAGAAGCATCAAACCCTCCAACTCTTATTAGTACCTGCCATGCAGACCACACGAGTCACGCTTAGTCCACCCGCTTCTCTTTTGTTTGTTTATTGATCTAAAACAACTTACACGTTAACTGACATGCATGTCTTTGGTCTGTGCTGCTGGAAAAAACACAAAGTCTGCAGCTGGGATTTGAACCTGCAACCTTTTACTGTCAGGCAGCAGTAGTAACTGCAGCACCATGCAGCCCCGAAGGCCATTTGGAGTTAGAAAAGCTTCACACCACTCTGTTTCACGAACAAGCAATTTCTGCATTACCCAAAGAAACGCAGCCTGGAGCTCGTCGTCCTCGTCCTCGTCCTCCTGTCCTTCTGGACTGATCGGAGGCTGCAGAACCGGGTCAAAACCACCTGATATCAGCTGGGTGGGCTCTGGTCTGTCTGACCCGCCCTCAGGCACCAGCCCACCTGCAGCAGGTCTACCTGGCTGCTGGAGTGAAAGACACCTTATTACTGAGCCATAGGCATGGTCTGTTCAATCCTCTCTAAGAATGAGCCTTCATGGCCCCGCCCACCTCGGCTGTGTTGATCTAAGAATGAGCCTTCATGGCCCCGCCCACCTCGGTTGTGTTGATCTAAGAATGAGCCTTCATGGCCCCGCCCACCTCAGCTGTGTTGACTAGCAGCCAGGAGAGAGTAGTGTGTCTCAGCGAGTAGAAGCTAACCATTAGCAACTCCACAACACGGCACAACTCCTCCAGGCTTGTGATATTTGTGGAGATAAAACACCAACTTTGCATCTTTGACCCAAGAATGAACACCATGCAGCAGAAGAGTTGTGCTGCTGTTAGCCAATCAGAGGCTAGCTTACAAATCATGAATTTTAATGAGTAAGACTCGTAATCCTGCTGTTTTCTGCCCTCTCTCCACCAGCTAACTTCTAAGTCCCAAAACGGGAGCACCAGAGCTTTTCTCCACAGACCAAGACTCACAGGGCCTTCAATCATACAGGAGACCACAGCTAATCATGGAGAAAATCTTTAAAGAAGCTCTAATTTCCTATTTTACATGGATATTTATTTTCATGGAGTTTTATGGTTATTTACTGGCCTAAACATCACCAAAAGCTAAATGTGGCGCTTCAGTGCATCCTGGGGTCAAGTCCAACAAGAATGTTTCAACACGTCTGCTCATAACCACAAACACACATGTAGACACTAACTTACGGGGATATTCAGGGGCTTCATCAAAACCACTCTGAAGTTTCTCTCCCTTACATTAACAGTCTGAAAGGTTCTGGCTTATTACAGTATTGAGGCCTTTTATGATTTAAATTGAGATTTTTCTATCGCCTCACCTCGGCTGGTGATGGAGGCAGAGGCGGGGCTTCCTCTGGGTTCTGTGTGGACGCCTCTACCTGAAGACGCTCCCGTAAGCGTGCCACTTCCTGCCGCAGGGCGCCGACTTCCTGTGCTTGTGCCTGAGCGCCGGCCTCCAGCTCCACCTTCTGGCCAATCAGAGCTTTCCCTTGAGCTTCCACCACGGAGATCTTATGGCGCAGGTCATGGTTGATTTTCATGAGTCGAGACTGCTGCTGCTGGAGCTGCAGAAACAGAACGAGGGTAGAGGAGCTGCAGCAACAGGACCTCCGACACACCGGAGCAGATGCTCCTGGGTGGTGGTGGAGTCCGCGTGGCCGGAAACACGTAGCCAAATAATCTATTAGAAGCTCTTTTAGAGTCACTCTAAACTGAAGTGAGCAGAAAACACAAGAAAACATGAGTAACTAAAGCATCAGCTGATGATGTGGACCTGTTCTTCATCATTTATTTTCATGTTAAACCTGTTTTCACCTGCAGCTCCCCCAACCACCTAGTGCTACAAGACACCTGCTGGAGGTGCTGCATCTGGTCCTTTCATCCAGGTAGATCCGTCTGAAGTCAAACGTCAGGATCGACCATGACCTCAGACAGAAGCAGCCTGGTCCTCGTCAGAGAACACCTTACTGCTTCTATGTCCTCGTTTTTCAGAGACAGCTCGCGGTCCTTGGCTCGGATCTCGTCTCTCTGCTTATCCACCACTTCCTTCAGCCTCAACATCACCTGCTTCTCCTTCTCAGTCATACCTGGAGACCACAGACAGACAGAGGAGCGGAGTGTTGGGAGCGTCTTCACACAGACGAGCCGGATTTGTTTCAGGAGCAGTCATCTTCTTTTATTGGTGGATGAATGTCGGCAGCAGAGGCTCATTTGTTTACAAGTCTTGCAGGTGTGTGTGTGTGTGTGTGTGTGTGTGTGTGTGTGTGTGTGTGTGTGTGTGTGTGTGTGTGTGTGTGTGTGTGTGTGTGTGTGGACTGAGGCTGGTCTGTTTACAGAGCACCAGGGAGACTGTGGTCTCTGTGTGAAACAACGAAGGGATGAGACTAGCTCGCCGTCAGACAGAGAAGGCCTTGTGTGTGTGTGTGTGTGTGTGTGTGTGTGTGTGTGTGTGTGTGTGTGTGTGTGTGTGTGTGTGTGTGTGTGTGTGTGGCACATGGAGTGTAACAACAGCTCTGCATTTTTGCATCAAAAATTATGCAAAACAAAAACCTCTGATGATGTTTAAAATCTAAGGTTTAGAAGAATATCTGGAGGAATTCATGAGACACGACTGGAAACAGACGATGCTAAACACGCCCATTTAACCCTTGATGACTAATTATTACTTTATGGAAAGCCTAGCCTACAAACATCACTGATTGCTTGAGAACAACTGCTTCTGACTCTGAGAAGAGAAAGTTCATGTTACTCTGGAACAGAAAAGCTTTATTAGTCCCAGGGACGGGAAGTTAGAGTTTCAGTACACACCATTCAGAGATCAGACATACTGGGCAAGACACATGACAAGAATTGGTGACTGTGGTCATTCGCAACCCGAGTCACGCTACCGTAAGAGAGAGAAAAGGATAGTATGAGGAATGGATTCGGGAGGAGGGAAAAAAGGCACCTCATAGCTACTCTCCCCCAGGAGGGCAGCTTTGCTCTGCTAAAAAAACACCTCAACAGATAAGCAACACAACATCACAATAGGCGGGGTGGGGGGGTGGGGTGGGGGGGGGGGCTGGGATCCTGTTTCCCCAGCGAGAGCAGCCCTGTACGGCGCTCAACCACTGTAGCCACAGGTGGGAGGGAGATCTTGGGAGGAGCGCAGAGCACATTGACTCCTGCAGGTTGATGACCTCGCCAGGCTGAAGCTGCCAGCTGCATTTCTTAATAAATGTTTCACACTGATGCAAGCTAACTACTTCTTTTGTTTTAGAACACAAAAAGCTTTAATCTAGTAGTCAAAAATGATCAAATATTACTAAACAATGGGTGCGTCCGCATCCGTGGCCGGATGCTTACGAGTACGGGACCTCGCCGGTCAGACCGCTAATGGGCCATTCCCACCTGTACCGGGTCGGCCCGGGCCGGGTAGCCCCAGTCGGCCCCAGCCTGGCCCGGTTGATTCCACACATCCTTGTCTTAAGCCCATGTGGGCTGATTCTACCCACCAATCAGAGGCTTGCTCTAATGGAAGGTGTGAATTTGCTGCCAGCAGTGGGTGTGTTGGCCCTGGTCGGCCTGAAGCAGACCCCCTCGAGAAGAGGGCTGAGAATGAGCCTTGGTTGGCCCGGAAAAATACCAGGCCACCCAGATATGTAAACAACCTACGCTACCCGGCCCGGGCCGACCCGGTACAGATGGGAATGGCCCATAAACAACCTACGCTACCCGACCCGGGCCGACCCGGTACAGATGGGAATGGCCCACAAGACCGGAACCCAGCGGCTCTGAATTCGGACGGTCTAGCCTTCACCTCTACGGTGGCCCGTAGGTCCCGTCACAGCCGTGGTGGCAGCTACACGCAGAGGAAACATGCTAAAGCTAGCGAAAATGGAGCAGGAATGTTAAGGAGCTAGAGCAGCTTCACGTCCATCAGCAGCGTTTGTTCACAACCGTTTTCAGGTAAAGTAACTTTGTTTATTCTAGAAGCTTTCAGGACTTACATGTTAACTTTAGATGGTTTCATGTATGTTTTAAGCTACAGAATGAACTTGTTAAACGTACATAACACATTACTACAGAGTATTATCATGTAGGTAATTCATATAAACCAAATGCATTATAAATGTTGAATGCAGCAGGATGTTTTCTGATGTAAATTGGACCGTAGAACTTATTTAGCATCAAATGAGGGTAAAATGCTTTCAAAAACAGGCTTCTTAATAAAATAGCATTGAAGTGTCTTCAGTGTGCATTTGTTTATTCAACTTAAGCCTAATAATGATTAGATCGGTCTTAAAAATGTAAATTCTCTGTAGTTTTCCCTGCTGCTTTTCTTTAAACTGAACAGAACCAGTGTACTGCAGGTTATATGTTTGTTTTACATTTTTCTATAAAAACCCTCTTTTTTAATCTATTACAGGTCAGCATGCACTGTGCTGCACATCTGCCTCTGTGCTGGTGAAGTTGTGGGTCTGCAGGATGAGCGTGAGGAAGATGTGTGTGGAGGAGGTCAGTGGTGCTCTGTCCTGCTGGAGGTACCAGCAGACCACCACTGCTGTTAACAGGCAAGTCATTCACAGAGATGTAACAGCCGTCGTCTGAGCCAGCCCAGCAGGCCCTGTAGATGGACGATGGAGTGGACAGTGAGAGGAAGCGTCCCAAAGCTCTCTCTGCAGACCGTCCTGTATGATGTTCCTCTGACCAGAAACATCCAGCCACGGGTCTGCTCCAGCCCTCCATCCACGTCTGGATCCTCCTGCAGCAGATCCAGCTGCACTGATAAAAACTTCCTGCTCACTCAGTTTAAATAAATGATCCAGGAAGAGTCACTCAGGTTAATCCTGCTTTAACCGTACATAACTGGTCCATACTGGTTCTGATCTGTAAATAAGTGTAACCTATTATAAATAATCTTGTCTCCTTACCATCTTTTCATTTTCTGTTCATGTAACATGTTCAAAAACATCTGTAATAATAAAACTGGTGATAAAATCAATGACCAGAAAGAGTTATCAGTTAGTATTTGTTTTAATAAATGTGTTCAAATATCAAACAGCTAAATAACATTAACATGATGACAGTAGAAGGCCTCTCTCCCAGGAGGACCACCAGGTAAAGCCTCTCCTGACCCTGGACACCTGCAGTCCTACAGAGAATCAGAGACCACAGGTGACTAAAACGCAATAAACACATTTTTACATTTATCCACATGAGAAGATAAAAATTTTATTCTTCACACAAACACTTTTTACTTCATTAAAACGTGTCAGCTGTGTAAATCCCCGAATGTAAAACTACTTTTCACAGCAGAACTTCTGTGGTTGTGTGTAAACAGCTTCACTCTTCACCTCTAAGCTTAATAAAAACGCTTCTTTGCTCCATTGTCCTTAAAACAAATGACAAGTTTAATTCAACACACACACACACACACACACACACACACACACACACACACACACACACACACACACACACACACACACACACACACACACACACACACACACACACACACACACACACACACACACACACACACACACACACACACACACGGGTTCTGGCTGATTTCTGGCTAAAATGTAATTTAAAGAACAAATATACAAACGATAATAGACCGCTATAAACTGAACCGCTTTAAGCTTTTTAGGTTTCTACGGCTAGTTTTTAACAAACTTACGTTTAAAACTTCGTAGCTCTCCCCATTTTCTCTTCCTGTTGAAATTCACAGCTGGCGCGCAAAGCATGCTGGGATAGCCTTGTTCTGTGAGGATACAACAGACCCGTCCTCGAAATGTGGGCGGAGCGAGGACGCGTTTGAGGACGTGAGAATGAGTATTCTTGGAATTGGGACAGTACTCGTCGCTGCGCTGTGACGTCATCGACCTCAAAACGCGCTCTTGCAAAAATCCTTCCCGTGGATTCGGACACACCCAATAACAAAAATCCTTATTGTAAAGTGTCTGGGTGTGTGATGATGAATGCCATCAGGTCCTTGTGGCAAACATCACCAGCGTTTGCATTTTCTCGCTTCTTTTCCAGCATCCGGACACAAACATCCTCACCCTCGTGCCTCTGCAGCTCCTCTTCATTCATCGAGTCTTTGATGGGCATGTTGGAGAGGAGGGTCTTGTTCTCCTCCTGCAGCTGGGCGATCTGAGAGAGTAGATCCTGAGCTTCTCCCCTCCACACGTCCTCCACCCGCTCCAGCTCCTGCATACAGATTATTAGGTGCAAAATAAATAAATCCCAGTTGCCAGAACGTCAGAAAACAAATGTAATGGCTAAGCTCACTGCAGCAGGAGTCTCACAAAGATGATTTGAATGCATTTCCAAGTGGGGTGATAAAATGGTGTTATGATTGTATTGTGTTGATAAAAAATGCTGGTTTGACCAAGTTAGCGCCTGAGGATCATAAAACAAACGGGTTCATGTTCACCCAGATGTCAGGCATGCACACTGCTGTAAAGTGGTATTAAAAGTACGCAACATTGCGCTGTTCTACTTTCTAGAGCTCCGGTTTGACCCAATAACCGACGGAGCTCAGCAGAGCAGAGTTTTTAGCCGGTGACACTGAATCCAATAAAAATAGATCTGGGCTAAAAATACTGCTCTGTGCAGCGTTCCATGAGAAAACCCTGATGGCTCAGTGGAACCTCTCCGTTGCAGAAGCACCACTTCATCAGTCATGAGGCCCGGTTGAATGGTCCACTACTGGTTCAGTCACCATCACGGGAATCTGACGTCTGCTGTAGCCTCAGGCAGCCTCACTCACTCACACTCTAATCTAATCTAATCTAATCTAATCTAATCTAATCTGTAGCAGTGGAAAAAGAGATTCAACTATTTACATCCTGAATGTGGTTTCTGTACTAAACAGCTGTTTCACTCGGAGCCCTTCCAGACATCTGGACGCCAGAGCGAATCTGAAGAGACAAACTCTAAATAGTTTTTATGGGAATTATTCAATGTGTGTGTGCGTGTGTGTGTGTGTGTGTGTGTGTGTGTGTGTGTAGGATGGCTGCTTATACTGAGCCAGGATTCTCTGGAGGTTTCTTCCTGTTAAAAGGGAGTTTTCCTCTCCACTGTCACTGCATGCTTGCTTAGTATGAGGATTGCTGTAAAGACTCTGACACTAGTCAGTGACTCGATGTGACCTGCTGGGTTCCTTATATAGGAAACTTGTTACTGATTGGCTCAGTGAGCTGACCTGTGTTGGAGTGTGTACTGTGTGAAGGTCCTTGAGACGACTCGGGTTGTGTTTTGGCGCTTTATAAATAAACTTGAATTGAATTAACATGACTTTTTCACTTTTTACGCGTTCTGAATCCTACACCAAGTTCTGATCAATCAATTCTAGTATTGATGACTTTATAGATAATGGTGATCAATAACTTAGCACCTGATACCATTTCAGGCCAGACTTTTAACCCCGTTAGCACTGATAATCAGATTTCTGTAACTGATGAGCTTTAACTTCATGTTTATAGCTTCACCTAAAAGGATTTTCATTGTCATTTTATTTAAGGTGGATCTTTAACGGTAAAGCAGTGGCTGACCTAGGGGTTTTTACAAGGAGGCAAAAGAGGTGTGACTGTTCCAGGCAAGATGTTCTGAAAACAATCATTTTAGAGAAATATCTATAAAAGAGGATTAGAACCACGATGAACGTGGTTTTACTCTTCCATAACTACTACTATAAGACATTTGTCATAACTTCTGAAAACACCATCGTGTTTCTGTTGTTAGGATTTTAAATTAAGAAAAAAAAATAACTTTTGCAAAAAGCTCAGATATTTGCTCTTCAACTGGATGCTGATATTTGTGAAAAATTTGCTGTAAAAACATTAGAGGAATTAAAACCTACATTTTTACTACATCTATATTTAAAATAGAGCTGCACAATATATCGTAAATATATCGTTATCGCGATATCAGCATGCACAATATGCACATCGCAAACAACAGATAAATATCGTAATGAATGGTCGGCTCTAATGTTTGCTACACATAACGCGTTCTGTCAGTCAAACAGAAGCATGATGTTTTTGAACAACTCTAATGGAGCTCTTCACCCATTTGTCCAACTGGGTGGGTTCTCATAGGTCAGACGCCCGCCCCCGAGGCGGACGGCACATCATTTTGATGGTTGGCAAACACCTGAGTTAGCTTTGTTCTGCTCTTTCTGCTGATTCTGCTTTTCCCGGGATCCACGGATCACCTTTTCTTGTTCATTTTCTTTTTCCCTCACATCTTTTGCTTTTCTCATTTTTATGATTTTTTTATTTCTTTGTTTTTGATTATTTTTGTTCCTGAGTTAAGTTTTTATTTATCACAAGTAATATCGCCATCGCAATATTAATAATTGTTATCGAATATCGCAGGTTTTCCTAATATCGTGCAGCCCTAATTTAAAACATGATTTTTTAAATCAGTTATTAAGAGTTACTAACAGCTGCAGGTTGCAGGTCTAGACGGAGCAGACCTCCTCCTTTAAGTATTTAAAGTTCTCTAAACATAAATGGAGTCATCAAAATACTCACAAAAACACCTTAAAACTATGTATTGTGTGATTATTTAGTCTAGGAAAACCATGAAAACATTTGAAATAAATGTGAAAATACAGATGTTACACAAAAAAATAAATGCAGATATATTTAGAAAATCAGCTTAAATTACTGTACAGGACTGATTTCATCGTTAATATTAGGAGAGGTGTATTTTAAGGACATTAACTCATTCACTACCATTGATGACTTAAGTCATCATTTGCAAGTTTTACTGCGTGGGCGTCGGACGAGCCCCCGCACCGTGAGAACAAACATCTCAGCTCTAAAGCTGATCTTCATCCGTGTACGTCACACATCACGTGATCAAGAAGCAGAACATCCATGTGTTAGGAGATCGTTTTGGGTCGCTGCTGTAAAAAAAGTGAGGGGCGAATCAGAAAAGTTTCTGCCGATCACAATTCAACGTCGGATTATGAAAGAACGGATAACGCTCGAAACGCGCGGATTCTTCCTGAAGTAATTCAAATTCAAAAATACTTTATTAATCGCAGAGGGATTCAGTACACACAATTCTGAGATCAGACATACATACATAGACACATGACAAGAATTGGTGACTGTGGTCATTCGCAACCCGAGTCGCGCTACCGTAATAGATCAAGAGGGTTTATATGAGGATTGAGTCAGGGGGAGGGAAAAAAAGGCACTTCAGAGTTACCCTGCACAGAGAGGGCAGCTTTGTTATGCAAAAAAACACCTCAGACAGAAATCCAACAGACTTCAGACATCACACAACATAAGTGTCCACTAGGTGGGGAGGTAGGGTTGGGACTCTACCCACTTCAGTGCATGCAGCCACATGGAGCAGCGCTCATCACCTCCGTTTGGACAGGGGAGGGAGATAATGGGTTAGAGAGCACATTGAATCCTAGATACGGTTCCACAGCCTTCACCGGTCACAGTCCCGCCCAGGCAGGGAAAGGGAGAAAGAGTTTCCATGGCGACGGCAGCATTCCACATTTCTTCTGAGGTGGGGAGTTTTCACTTCAGCCTCACAGGCTCAAGGGCACCAGATTCAGATAAGAATGGTTTTGGGGACAGACAGAGATAACTTCCTCTCTGTCTTAAGCCCCCTTCAGACAGGCCATGAAAAACGGAAATGTTCCGGACTCTGTCCGTAAGACCTTTGTGTCTGAATACAAACATCCGGATAATGTGTTTCGGAATTTAACCGGACGAAGCCCCTAGTAACAGGTCCGGACTTGTTACGGACAGGATGGCTGCGTCAGACTGGTGAGGTAGAGTTCCGGACGGGGGGGGGGGGGGGGGGGGGGGGGGGGGGGGGGGGGGGGACCGGGGGACGCTGTGCGCACCTAGATAGCCCGCTGCTGTAGCAAGCGGCGAACCACGGCAGCTCGCCTCCTACGGTACCGCCTAGACGCGCAACGGAGCGCTTCACACCGCTTCAGTGATTCCTTTAACCATTGAGCTTCATCATCCATGTCTCCTATGCGTCTTTGTGTGCGCAGAATTATGCTTAAGCGCCTCGTGATTTTTATCTTGAGAGGCGCTATAGAAATGATATTTTCTTCTTCATAACATAAGTCCGATCCCCCCCACCCCCCACCCCCCCGCTGCCGTCAAGACATCTGGAACTTTTCCCTGCTGTGTGAACGCAGCCGAAAGGACAAGTTCCGGTACAAAAGTAGTGTGTCTGAAAACACAGTTCCGGTTAAAAACCGGATTGAATTGTCCACAAATGTTCCAGAATGTCTATCTGAAAAGGGCTTAAGAGTTCTGTTGGTCTTCAACACCTCCAGGTCCAATAATGGCGTAATTAATCTATCCCAATCCATGCTGATCCGTCCACTCGCTCCTTGATGGAATCCACCTTCTGTGCCAGAGTCTGAATCTTAGCCAAAGTTCCAAGCTTACGACTCATCTCGGCAATTATATGAGTCTGTGAGTTTACAGCGCGGTGTAATCCATCCCTGAGCTCCGGGATTGAGCCAATATTCCTCGAAAGCTCGTTTATTTTCCAGTAAGAAGAAGAGAAAAAAAGAAGAAAATAACATTTCTATAGCGCCTCTCAAGATAAAAATCACGAGGCGCTTCACAAAAACAAAAAATAAAAAAATGTAAAAATATAAAAAAGCATTTAGAAAATGTTTAAAAATATATTTAAAATGAGCAAAAATAAGCAATTGCGATTTTAAAGAAAAAATGTAAAGAAAGAGAGAGAGTGAACAGGAAAGAGGGAAACCAGTGGATCCTGAGGAAGGTGGAATAGGTGGGGAGAGCAGAATAAAGAGAGAGAGGTGAAGAAGGTCATACAAAAGCCAGCTTGAACAAGTGAGTCTTCAGCTGCTTTTTAAAGGAGACCACTCTGTCCACTGATCTCAGGCTCAGGTAACCGCTCAGGCCAAACAGCAGGAATCCCGACACCAAAACGACGAATATCCAAACATCTTCAGAATCCTCTACAGACAGTTGAGAGAGGCAGATCATGTTCCACTGCTTCCAGGAGTCCATGATATACCCAGCTAGCTGTGTCCCAGAGGGGCAACCAGGAGCCCCTTCTCCCGTTCTCACTGTTGAAAAGATTTTGTCAATCGCGTTGAGAGACCAACTGACCAGATCCATGTTTAATAATTTCCAGTTTCCAGAAAAAATGCAGAAAGCGCCGTGCACAACACAGGACAATGAGCCTTGGGAGGAGGAGGGAGGGAGAGGAGAAAAAAAGCGTCTGTACTCTCCAAGAGCCGGAAGAAGAGGTCAGTCTCCGCTTCGTTTCGGTTGTTTTGGCGTCGACATCATTCTAGCGCGCAACAGTGAGAAACGCTGGAAGCGAATGAGTTAAAGTAGGGGGCAGCTGGATCCCCATCCCCATCCCCAGTAGATCCGCCCCTGATAAATGACTAAATCTTTACTATATTTTATCTGCAGGCTTTTAACACGTAGTTGTCACTTTATGGATTCAGATTCGACTCTAAATATTTAGACTGAATTACATGACTGCAGTATCTATGTTACCATGACGTAAAATAAAATTGTTATTTTTACAATCAGAGCCCCTGGCTTTTAATTACAACCACTTTACTGTTTTCCACTAAATAAGTGATTACTTTTATTTACAGGATGTACTTGTAGGTTAATAGTAGATCGGCTGGGGCACCTGTCTGTGCTTCCTCTCCTTCTCCAGCCGCTCTATCCGCTCCAGCCGCAGCCTGTCCAGCTCCAGCCGGAGCTCCTCGGTGTCCGGGCTCATGCTGCTGCGGCTCACCATCACCTCCAGGATCTCCAGCACCCGCACCACTTTGGGCATCAGCCTGGACAGAGCCTCGCAGCCATACTGGTCTATGATCCGCTCGAACTCCTGGCCCACCACCGCGGCGATGTCGTACACGTCCATCACCGTGAGGTCAGCCGCATTCTTCTCCAGGGCCGACCCGAAGCCCTCCATGACGGGATGTTCTGGCCCCAACGGTTTCCCTTCGCCACGGCAAACTTCCGAGGGACAAGTCGGCGAACTTCCGCGCTGCTGCCTTAACTTAGCCGGGGCGACCCAAATGATCCACAAGGCAGCATAAAAACACCAAAATACCGGTTATCCATGTGTCTCGGTTCGTTTCTGGGTTCAATTCGATCTGTTCTGGATAAAAATCGGTTCCGTCCCATTGCTGTCCTACCGGAGAGTCTGCCTAGCAGCCAGGGCAGGCTGTCCTCCTGAAGGCTAGCCGGTACTGCCGGAAATATTTTCAAAATAAAGCTCAGCAATTCCGGTGTGGACTTCAATACAAAACAGGGGAGATTATTTCAAATAATTTTCTTTGTTTAAATATCTGTTTGTATATTGTATGTATATCAGTATTGATGTTAGTTCAGTTCACATGCAGACTGATTTTACTCTGTCCTGCAGCTGCTGCTAAATAAGTCAATTTTAATTTGAATTAAAGTTGTTTCATTAATCAAAAATTATTACTTTTAATATTTCATATGTGTAAATCCGTCACATCACAACTATATATATATATATATATATATATATATATATATATATATATATATATATATATATATATATATATATATATATATATATAAATGAATGAATTATCAATTTTATTCAGTCATCATCAAAAAAGTAATTAATGATGACAGTAACATATCATACTCATAAATCCATACATTTCCATACATCCACAAATATATATATATATATATATTATATATATATATATATATATATATATATATATATATATATATATATATATATATATATATATTCATATATCTGTTTTGGAATGTTTACAATGTGAAGTGCCTTGAGACGACTCTTGTCGTGATTTGGCGCTATATAAATAAACTTGAATTGAATATACTTATACTTCTTATTTTAGTATCTACACATTTCCCAAGCAGTCACATTAACTTTTGAACATTTCATGACTGAACAGGTGTTGGCAGAAGCAAAAGCTTATAATATTGCCTAACCTACTTGCTTAATCAATTTTTTTAATTCCCTCAATGTGATGATAAGAAAATTTATAAACACAAACACATCCAACTTCGAATTAATGGTAATCCAAACTATTTTTACTGATAAGTATTTTAAAAACTGAAAGTGTAGTTGCTAATTTAAATTCTATTTTAGCCTCATTCCAGAATTTTACTCCCATTATAGAGATACATCTCCTTTTAATACCTTTCTTAGTAGTACTATAAACATACATACACCTCTGAAATCACAATTACTCTCCCTCTATGCAAACAAACCTTTGTACTTTCTCAGAAAGATACATTAATTTATCTCTAAACCTAATTTGCATAATTTTATAATAGTATAGATCCTCTAATTTCATTATCTGTGATTTTAAAAACAACGGATCCGTATGAACATAATAAAAACTCCTATTTATAGGTCGAATTGCTTTTTTTGAGTAGTTTTTATTTAATTTATGTGTTTGTTGAACCACATATTTCTATACAATATGACGAGCAAGGTTGAATTAGTGAGCAACATAATAAAAGTAAAGCCTTAGTTGAACAGGTCTTTCAGTCGTTCCAGACATGTTTTCAATTTCAGTATTTGAATTAGTTCATTTAAAGTCCTCATTTTTTCCATTTTTTATTTTCAAATATCATATATTTAGTTTTATTTATATTCAGTGATAATTTATTTACATCTAGCCACGTTTTGAGGACAATTATATATAAATACATATGTATTTATATATAATTCTCCTCAAAACATGGTTAGATGTTATAAATTTTATATATATATATATATATATATATATATATATATATATATATATATATATATATATATATAATTATATTTATTATAGTAAAACTGAATAAAATGCAGACTTCAGTGAGCCTAAATAAAATACAGAAAATACTAATAATAGTTACTGTTCACACTAATAGAATAATGTAAAGCAGTCTATACATTATTTAATGAAAAATAAATAAAATATTAGTGGTCTTATGGATCAGCTCATTAGTGGTTAAGAAAATATGAAAATATCTGTAAAAATTAATTGAAATATCTAAACTGGCAATTTGAAGCTTAAAATACATTTTCACGCTACCAACCTTTAAAATTTTAATAAATGAGCAAAAATAAATCTTTGTGAAAGGATAATGTGGAGCTGGGGTAGATTTTTTTGTTTAAATATTTAAATAAGGAAATATTCTTAATAGAACATAAACATATATACAATAAAAATTAATATAAGCCATGTGTTGTTCTACTTTTAAGAGACAACTGCGCAGATTCTCTTGGCTAATCTGACTATCTTCAAAGGCTTTTATTTTGAAAGCATTCTTGTTTTAATCCTATGTGTTGTTTTCTCACTTGACGCCTCTGCTGTGGTCTAAACGGGAGTCACAAGACTGAATGGTGGTGAGATTGCAGTGTCTACTGCGCATGTCTGAAATAACAGGTGGATGAGGTCGAAGGCAGAATATATTACAGAACCAAAAAGACTCAACTAGCCGATTGGTCACGCAGCAGAAATAAATAAGAGGCTTGATATAATATTCATAACATCAGCTACTATGTCCTCTAGTTGCTAAACATGAAATCAGTCCAGAATAAACACATTAACACCCAAAGCTAAGAATTCTGAAAAACTCGGTGGAGATCTGATGATGTTTACATGTTGTTGACCATGTTATGACGGATGTATCCATCACTAAACAAGTCTGTCGACGGCCAAAACCGTCAAGTTAAATGTCAATAAAAAAGTTTCCTATAAGAGGAACCCAGCAAATTGCATGAAGTCACTGACTAGTGTCAGTCTTAACAGCAATCTTCATACTGAGCAAGCATGCAGCGAAAGTGGAGAGGAAAACTCGCTTTTAACAGGAAGAAACCTCCAGAGAATCCTGGCTCAGTATAAGCAGCCATCCTCCACGACTCACTGGGGATCGAGAAGACAGAGCAGGCACACACACAGACACACACACACACACACACACACACACACACACACACACACACACACACACACACACACACACACACACACACACACACACACACACACACACGACAAAGTAATGTGTCTATAGTTATATTGTGATGTCTTAGTAAATATTCTATTTGGTGAAAGATAAACTTTATTGTATATATGCTAGTGGATCTATAATTAAACGGATAAACTAGTAGTAACACATCCAACGTCAAGGAAAGCATAAAGTTATTATCAGGAGAGGGAGAATGTTTAAGTGGTTAGCAGCAGTGTGCTAGTCGATGGCCCCCTCCATGAGGCCACCACAGGTCAGCAGAACATCGTTGTAGATTCTTCTGGGGAGAAAAACACTTAGAGAGAAAATAAAGTTAACAGCTGAAATAGCAGGAAATAATACAGTTAAAGAGCAGATTGTAGAAGAAAGCAGTAGAGTGTGTAAAGTGGTCAGTGTGTCCTCCAGCAGTCTAAGCCTATAGCAGCATAACTACAGAAATGTGATTTTTATTTAGAAAATTCAAAATGATTTTATAGTGATTTTTTTATTTGCACATCTCAGAAAAGGTCTCAAGTGAACAAAAAATTGAATATAAAATCTTAAAAAGTTGAAAGAGCTGGAGATACAAATTCCACCATTCTAGAAATTTGGGGGCCGCACAAAATCGCCCTGAGGGCCACAAATGTCCCCCGGGCCGCCCTTTGGACATACCTGGTGTATGGGTAAGTAGGAATATGTAGCTCAGGGTTGCATAAAAGGGCTCATGATTAAAATACATGAATAGATGAATAAACGTTTTATGTAAAGTTAATAAGAAGATTAAAAATGAAATAAACAAAATGGACAATTTCATGATTGTTCATGAATCAACTAGATGATACAAGCATTGGTATGATTACAACAGATAACAACATCTGATTAATATTGCTTTAAAATCCTGTCAAATTCTACAAAACTAAACTTTAAGTTAACAGCAACACTTTTGAACCATGTTGGTGATTCATCGAGTCAGATCCTCCTCTCGTCTGTCAGGTCAGGACTCTCCAGTTCCAGTTTCACCTCGTTTGAACTGTGATGAAAAATGGAAGCGTATTTACCGAACCTGCTCACATCGTCCTCTCATTGGGTGAATAAATACAACACTCACCGCGTGTTTCAGCAAGTTTCCAGATTTGGTGAAGATGTTTGGTTTTTTGAACACGTGTTTGCTGGACTCAGTGTGGCCCTGCTGGGACGACTGGGACTGAGGCGGTGGCTTAGGCTCAGAGTGGCTGGATGAGACCCCCGAGGGTTGGGAGTAACTCTGAGGAGGCATCGAGGTGTAAGGGTGAGACGGGATGAAGGACTGAGGCGGGACGTAGGGCTGGGAGGGTGTGTAGGTTTGAGATGGCGTATAAGTACTTGTGGGTGTGTACGTATTTGCTGGTGTGTAAGTATTTGCTGGTGTATAAGTATTTGCTGGTGTGTAAGTATTTGCTGGTGTGTAAGTATTTGCTGGTGTGTAAGTATTTGCTGGTGTATAAGTATTTGGTGGTGTGTAAGTATTTGCTGGTGTATAAGTATTTGTGGGTGTGTAAGACTGAGGCAGTGAGAAGAACTGTGTCTGAGCTGGTGTGGTCTTTGGAGGGCCCTGAGAGCCCATGAATGGCTGTGGATGTGAAAAAGACTGAGGTGTTGGGGTGGAGTTGAACAGGGTAGGTGATGGCGGTGGAGGAAAGCCATCATTGTCTCCAGATTTGTCGGTGGTGGCCCCGTTGACTCCGAGGTTGTAGTGCCTCTTCCTCAGCTCCCCCAGGCGGACTCGCTCCTGCTCCAGCTGGCTCTCGAGCTGCAGGACCTTCACCTGATAAGCACAGACCAGAAGTTAAGGTGGAAGTTAAAGCCAAAAGCAAAACAAGAGCCTTCCATTGGCTGGATCCAGCCCAAGTGCTAAGCCCCGCCCCCTACATGTAAACAAAACCAAATTTTTCTTCACTTAAAAAAAAACACCTCAGATGGTTGTATAAAACTTGTATAACCTTGTATAAAAATAAATCACTAAATATATCAAAACATTATTATTATGATCGACATTAGTATTAGTAGTAAGATCAAAGATCTAATGCTTTATCCATAAGGTTACTAATAGCCAGTTGTCTGTGAAGGTTCTCAGTCATCCAGGTCATTGTAGTCTAATGAGCTTTGAAAGAAAAGCGTCTGGACTTCTTTGAGTTGCTTGAAGACGTTTCACCTCTCATCTGAGAGGCTTCTTCAGTTCTGAGGTCAAATGGTGGAGAGTCCCAGATTTAAACCCAGTGGGAGTTTTCCCCCGAAGAGGGAACAAACGACCCCCTGATGATCTTCTACATAAACACATTGAGGGTGGGTGTGGGTCCTATTCAGCCAGAGTTTCGGGTGAGCTCATTGTGAAGCCTGGCCCCACCCTATCATGTGAATTCCTGAGGTCAGATGGCCCAGGATATGCGTGGGCGTTGAGGCATCTGGGAAGGGATCTCAAAACTGGATTATAGATGGTAGACAGTTGGTGTCGTAAAAAACCGCCTCTGTTCAAAAATGGTTGCTCACAGTGGACATAAATGGCTTCCTTTACTCCTCTTTCAAACCATCCGTCCTCTCTGTCCAAAATGTGAACGTTGGCATCCTCGAAAGAGTGACCTTTGTCCTTTAGATGCAAATGGACTGCTGAGTCCTGTCTCGTGGAGGTGGCTCTTCAAGCAACTCAAAGAAGTCCAGACGCTTTTCTTTCAAAGCTCATTAGACTAATAGCCAGTTATTATAATCACTTCTTATATTTAGCCTTTTATCCAAACTTTCAGCTGTTTCAAAGTTTTCATTGCTTCCTTTATTCTGTAATTATGTATTAATTAGCGTTAAGATAATGGTGTCCATTACTTGTCCATTAGAAACTAGCTAAACTTGATTGTCTGCTAGTTTAACCAGCTTAACCGTCTTTCCATTAAACGTGTGGTTCACTTGCAGTGGTCTCTAGTAGGAACGAATGCCTTGCATTCAGGCTATACTCAGGACATAAACGCTCGGCTCAGCATGGACAAGTCTGCGATACCAGAGGAGGGCTAAACACGGCAGGATCTGGAGTCTTTTTTCCTGATGTTTGGAAGGACTGGCTAACAGCAACACGAATCTCGTCTCTGCTTTTTGCGGTTGATGTGGTCCTCCTAGCTTCATCCAGCTCTGACCTTCAGCTCTTGCTGGGTAGGTTCGCAGCTGAGTGTGAAGCGGCTGGGATGAGGATCAGCACCTCCAAATCTGAGACCATGGTTCTCGACCGGAAAAGGGTGGCTTGCCAACTTCGGGTTGGGGGAGAGGTCCTACCTAAGGTGGAGGAGTTTAAGTATCTCGGGGTCTTGTTCACGAGTGAGGGTAGGAGGGATCGGGAGATCGACAGGCGGATTGGTTCGGCGTCTGCAGTGATGCGGACGCTGAGCCGATCTGTCGTGGTGAAGAGGGAGCTGAGCCAGAAAGCCAGGCTCTCGATTTACCGGTCGATCTACGTCCCAATCCTCACCTATGGTCATGAGCTTTGGGTAATGACCGAAAGAACGAGATCACGGATACAGCGGCCGAAATGAGTTTCCTCCGTAGGGTGGCCGGGCTCAGCCTTAGAGATAGGGTGAGGAGCTCGGACATTCGGGAGGAACTCGGAGTAGAACCGCTGCTCCTCCGTATCGAAAGGAGCCAGTTGATGTGGTTTGGGCATCTGGTCAGGATGCCTCCTGGACGCCTCCCTGGGGAGGTGTTTCGGGCATGTCCTGCCGGCAGGAGACCCCCGGGTCGATCCAGGACACGTTGGAGAGGTTACATCTCCAATCTGGTCCGGGAACACCTTGGAGTCCTGCCGGAGGAGCTGGTAGAGGTGGCCGGGGAGAGGATGGTCTGGAGCTCCCTAGTTGGGATGCTGCCCCCGCGACCCGGACCCGGATAAGCGGAGGAAGACGACGACGACGGCAACACGACTCAACCATTGACTCTGTTTGCTCTGCGACAGATTTTTATCTCCACGGCTTCTGCTGTGTGGTAGAGTTGCTAATGCTAATGGTTAGCTTCTGCTAGCTGAAATGTTCCCTGCTGATTCTGGACGCTAAAACAACGACAGTCTTCCTCGTTGTGAGCCAATACAGGTCAGTCTAAGGGACAGTGTGACGTAGATCTGTCAGGTTTTTCTAATCCTAGAGTTTCACCGTCTATTTTCTATCAGAAGCTACTGCAGGAGATAGCTGTAGGAGACTATTTTCATGTACAGCCTGCATGAAAAACCCAGTGACCCATTATAACCAGAAACATTCATTACAAAAATGGTATTTCAGTGTTCCACACCTTTGAAATACCCCTGTTACAACTACGACAGTTAATTTGACAGTTTAAAGAATTTTTTTGCCATTTTAAATCATTTGTCTGGTGTTTCCAAGGATTTTTCGCTAGGACTGCTTTAACTGGGAGCCTTTTATTCCACCAGTTCTAAAGCAGCTGTTGTGATTTCCACATCCTCGGCTTTAAGCTGACAGCAACAAAGAAAGTTAGACTTTTATCTTGCAGTTAACTCAAGTCTCACCTGAGCCTCCATTTCCTCTTTTTTCAGCTTAATCAGCGACATGCCAGAGAAGTCCATGACACCTGCATGTAGAATAACACCGAGACAGGAAGTTAAAGCAGCAATAATGGCTATTTTTAATTAGTTTACAGTAAAAAAAACTGCAGCCATCCTTATGTGATTAGCTCTAAAAGCTTTTTAACTCTTTTTTTTATGTCCCACAAATATTTGTGTTGACTTTATTTTTACTGGATAAAATTCCAGCCGCAGCATCTAAAAAGCTGTTGGACAAGAAAAGAATATAGATTTGTTTTACAGGGAGTGCAGAATTATTAGGCAAGTTGTATTTTTGAGGAATAATTTTATTATTGAACAACAACCATGTCCTCAATGAACCCACAAAACTCATTAATATCAAAGCTGAATGTTTTTGGAAGTAGTTTTTAGTTTTAGCTATTTTAGGGGGATATCTGTGTGTGCAGGTGACTATTACTGTGCATAATTATTAGGCAGCTTAACAAAAAACAAATATATACCCATTTCAATTATTTATTTTTACCAGTGAAACCAATATAACATCTCCACATTCACAAATATACATTTCTGACATTCAAAAACAATACAAAAACAAATCAGCGACCAATATAGCCACCTTTCTTTGCAAGGACACTCAAAAGCCTGCCATCCATGGATTCTGTCAGTGTTTTGATCTGTTCACCATCAACATTGCGTGCAGCAGCAACCACAGCCTCCCAGACACGGTTCAGAGAGGTGTACTGTTTTCCCTCCTTGTAAATCTCACATTTGATGATGGACCACAGGTTCTCAATGGGGTTCAGATCAGGTGAACAAGGAGGCCATGTCATTAGTTTTCCTTCTTTTATACCCTTTCTTGCCAGCCACGCTGTGGAGTACTTGGACGCGTGTGATGGAGCATTGTCCTGCATGAACATCATGTTTTTCTTGAAGGATGCAGACTTCTTTCTGTACCACTGCTTGAAGAAGGTGTCTTCCAGAAACTGGCAGTAGGACTGGGAGTTGAGCTCGACTCCATCCTCAACCCGAAAAGGCCCCACAAGCTCATCTTTGATGATACCAGCCCAAACCAGTACTCCACCTCCACCTTGCTGGTGTCTGAGTCGGACTGGAGCTCTCTGCCCTTTACCAGTCCAGCCACGGGCCCATCCATCCGGCCCATCAAGACTCACTCTCATTTCATCCGTCCATAAAACCTTAGAAACATCAGTCTGGAGATATTTCTTGGCCCAGCCTTGACGTTTCAGCTTGTGTGTCTGGTTCAGTGGCGGTCGTCTTTCAGCCTTTCTTACCTTGGCCATGTCTCTGAGTATTGCACACCTTGTGCTTTTGGGCACTCCAGTGATGTTGCAGCTCTGAAATATGGCCAAACTGGTGGCAAGTGGCATCTTGGCAGCTGCACGCTTGACTTTTCTCACTTCATGGGCAGTAATTTTGCACCTTGGTTTGTCCACACGCTTCTTGCGACCCTGTTGACTATTTTGAATGAAACGCTTGATTGGTCAATGATCACGCTTCAGAAGCTTTGCAATTTTAAGACTGCTGCATCCCTCTGCAAGATATCTCACTATCTTTGACCTTTCTGAGCCTGTCAAGTCCTTCTTTTGACCCATTTTGCCAAAGGAAAGGAAGTTGCCTAATAATTCTGCACACCTGATATAGGGTGTTGATGTCATTAGACCACACCCCTTCTCATTACAGAGATGCACATCACCTAATATGCTTAACTGGTAGTAGGCTTTCGAGCCTATACAGCTTGGAGTAAGACAACATGCATGAAGAGGATGGTGTGGACAAAACACTCATTTGCCTAATAATTCTGCACTCCCTGTATTTTATGAATTCATCGTTCTGTTCCTGAAACTGAAACATCATCCCTTGGATCCTCCAAGAGCTGCACCTTCTACCTTGATCAGAGATCTGCTGCTGCCCGTGTTTGGTGGAGGTGACGACCACAGCGGCCATGTCGTTCACGTGTCGTGACGCCTGCTGGACCGTGCACAGCTTCTTACTGCTGCGGTCGGCTTTCACCTAAAGAGACAGCCATGAACTATTATTGTTATTTATTTTATTAAAGTGACTCCTCTGAGTAAAACGTGCCCCGATAGCGATGCTTCTAAAGGTTTTTACAGATGTGGCTGTATTTATCCAGGTTTCAAGGTTTAGCTGTTTTAACGTGCATAACGCTTTTATCCCCAGTGACTAAGCATGTAACAAAGCAGTTACTCAGGAGGCTGACACTACGCTGCGTAGAGGACAGAACACGAGTCAGGCTCTGTCGGAGCTGATAGTGTAGAAACAGAGAGCATGCATTGATTTTTAATAACTTTAAAGGTGTGGTTTACTCGTTTATTCAATACATTTGCAGTGTTTTCTAGAGTAATTCTTATGAGTAATTAAAAAATCAGCTTTGATGTTCCTGTTCTGAGATGCAGAAGTTTGCTGGAGCAGAGGTCGGCTAAAAACAGCAGGATTGCTCATTATTATTAATGATATGCAAACACCTCGCTTCTGATTGGCTAACGGAACGCGCTCAGCCTTGCTGTAAAGTCACTTTCACCAAGCCACTCTCTGCTGTCTCTCCTCGCTGCAAAAAATAAAAAAATAGAAAAAATAAGCCTTCCTGCTGTGGGCAAGCCAAGATGGGTGAGGCCGTGAATGCAAATTCACAGTGTGACATAGATATGTGAGGATTTCCTAATCCTAGAGTTTCACCGTCTATTTTCTACCAGAAGCTAATGCAGGAGATAGGGTGTAGGAGACTATTTTCATGTTCAGGCTGCATGAAAAACTCAGAGTAACCCATTATAATCAGAAATAATAACTTAATTTCTTATTTTTTCAGCCAACCACACCTTTAAAGTCCTAATGGCAGCTATTCCCCTAGTCTGTGCTGTAAAGAAAATAATAAAGTACCAGATAATTCAGCAGATAACTCTTAAAAAAATCCAAATTGTTATCAAGAAAAACGATCGTTGGGTGGAACATCCTGACTCAAGAGAAACCACACAGAAGCCTACATGGAAACTAAAGTGTTTATAATTTTGTTCAACAATTGAAAACGCACGACTAGCGAAGGACTCCGTTCCCCGATAACGCTGACGCTAACACTTCACTGAGCGGTTTTGGTCCGTTACGCTTGTTCGTACCTTGGAGGCAGCGACGAGCTGAGCGGTGCTCGCAGCGATCTCGTTTGAACAGGCGATGAGCTCCTCGTAGGAACCCTTCTCAGTCACAACTCTGTCAGCCGAGTCTCTGAAAGCAAAAGTGCCAAAAGCAGTCAGACGCAGCTTTCTGCTGTGACTGGTATTTTGTGCTGCTTCTTGACTTGGTCAGGAACTCCCAGGTTAGTTAAAGGCTTTTAACATTAAATGAATGGTTTTAGATAATGATGTCGTGCATAAGTCCTTCATGCATGTGTTGATAATTACAGCAGCTGGGTTGCACCCCAGCCCACAGCTTTGGAGGCGGAGATGAGGCCTTCAGTCCAACGAGAGTTTTTGGCATAAAACTCTGTGACAGATGCTGCTCCCTGCATGAAAAATAAGATGTCAGCAGCTGGATATTTGATATTCAAGCATCAACACACCAGTGTTGCATGTAAACAGAACTGGTGGTAAAATCATTTCATTTCAATATATTACAACTCAAGTATTCCATTTAAGAAAACAAAAACATTTTGGGCAACTTCTTTAATTCGACAGGAAGGACACGAGTCTTGAAGATTTATTTTTTTGCTTAAAAAAATTAAAACATGAAAGAAAATCTTAACACTTGTGAAAATGTCGGTTCCAGAAACTCACCCTGCCCCCTTCCACAATGTCTTTCTGTAGATCGGTAGCAGCTGTCACCAGCATATGAACAGCCTGCAGACAAGGAAAACAATGCAATGGATTATGGGTAAAAGTGGGTCAAACACTGTTGTATTCGTAGGATGTTTTACCTTCATCAGGTCTGAGCAGGATCCCAGGATACTGCGACAAAACGAGAGGAAGAGTCAGAACCGACAGCATCAAGTCAAACAGGAAGATGAGGGAAAACAGTTAGTCTGACCTCTGGTTGACCTCTAGCTTCAGACCAGAGGTGTCTCTTCTCGTCTGGGTGAGAATCTCCTGGGAAACAAAACATGGAACGGATTTTTCATCAGGTCTCCATGTGTTGTTTTTATCTGTGGTCAGGTGCTAATGTGGTTGTCATGGAGATCCAGTCAGTTAGTCCATCCATTCATCCATCAGTCCATTCATCTGTTCATCCATCCATCCATCTGTTCATCCATCCATTCATCCATCAGTCCATCCACCTGTTCATCCATCCATTCATCCATCCATCCATTCATCCATCAGTCCATCCACCTGTTCATCCATCCATTCATCCATCAGTCCATTCATCCATCAGTCCATCCACCTGTTCATCCATCCATTCATCCATCAGTCCATTCATCCATCAGTCCATCCACCTGTTCATCCATCCATTCATCCATCAGTCCATTCATCCATCAGTCCATCCACCTGTTCATCCATCCATCCATCTGTTCATCCATCCATTCATCCATCAGTCCATCCACCTGTTCATCCATCCATCCATCTGTTCATCCATCCATTCATCCATCAGTCCATCCACCTGTTCATCCATCCATTCATCCATCAGTCCATCCATCTGTTCATCCATCCACCTATTCATCCACCTGTTCATCCATCCATTCATTGACCCCACATCCATCCACCTATTCATCCATTCATTAACCCCCATCCATCTGTCCATCTATCCATTTATCCATCTGTCCATCTGTTCATCCATCCATTCATCCATCAGTCCATCCACCTGTTCATCCATCAATTCATCCATCATTCCATCCATCTGTTCATCCATCCACCTATTCATCCATCTGTCCATCCATCCATTCATTGACCCCACATCCATCCGCCTATTCATCCATTCATTAACCCCCATCCATCTGTCCATCTGTTCATCTATCCATTTATCCATCTATCCATCCATCCATTAGTCCCCCATCCATCCTTCTGTTCATCCATCCATCCATTAGTCCCCCATCCGTCCTTCTGTTCATCCATTAATCCGTTAATCCCCCATCCATTCATCTGTTCATCCATCCATCCGTTAGACCCCCATCCGTCCTTCTGTTCATCCATCCATCTGTCCGTTAATCCCCCATCCATTCATCTGTTCATCCAGTAATCTGTTAATCCCCCATCCATTCATCTGTTCATCCATCCATCCGTTAGACCCCCATCCGTCCTTCTGTTCATCCATCCATCTGTCCGTTAATCCCCCATCCATTCATCTGTTCATCCATTAATCCGTTAATCCCCCATCCATTCATCTGTTCATCCATCCATCCGTTAGACCCCCATCCGTCCTTCTGTTCATCCATCCATCTGTCCGTTAATCCCCCATCCATTCATCTGTTCATCCATTAATCTGTTAATCCCCCATCCATTCATCTGTTCATCCATCCATCCGTTAGTCCCCCATCCGTCCTTCTGTTCATCTATCCATTCATCCATCTGTTCATCCACCCACCTACCCACCCACTCATCCATTAGTCCCCCATCCATCCTTCTGTTCATCCATCCATCTGTTCATCCATCCATCCATCCATCCATCCATCCACCCATCCGTTAATCCCTCCATCCATCCATCTGTTCATCCATCCATCCATTAGTCCCCCATATGTCCATCTGTTCATCCATCCATCCATCCATCTGTTCATCCATCCATTAGTCCCCCATACGTCCTTCTGTTCATCCAACCATCCATCCATCTGTCCATACACCCATCCGTTAATCCCTCCATCCATCCATCCATCTGTTCATCCATCCATCCATTAGTCCCCCATACGTCCTTCTGTTCATCCATCCATCTGTTCATCCATCCATTAGTCCCCCATACGTCCTTCTGTTCATCCATCCATCTGTTCATCCATCCATTAGTCCCCCATACGTCCTTCTGTTCATCCATCCATTAGTCCCCCATACGTCCTTCTGTTCATCCATCCATTAGTCCTCCATACGTCCTTCTGTTCATCCATCCATCTGTTTATCCATCCATTAGCCGCCCATACGTCCTTCTGTTCATCCATCCATCCATCCATCTGTTCATCCATCTGTCCATCCACCCATCCGTTAATCCCTCCATCCATCCATCTGTTCATCCATCCATCCATTAGTCCCCAATACGTCCTTCTGTTCATCCATCCATCTGTTTATCCATCCATTAGTCGCCCATACGTCCTTCTGTTCATCCATCCATCCATCCATCCATCTGTTCATCCATCTGTCCATCCACCCATCCGTTAATCCCTCCATCCATCTGTTCATCCATCCATCCATTAGTCGCCCATACGTCCTTCTGTTCATCCATCCATCCATCCATCCATCCATCTGTTCATCCATCCATCCATTAGTCCCCCATACGTCCTTCTGTTCATCCAACCATCCATCCATCTGTTCATCCATCTGTCCATACACCCATCTGTTAATCCCTCCATCCATCTATCTGTTCATCCATCCATCCATTAGTCCCCATACGTCCTTCTGTTCATCCATCCATCTGTTTATCCATCCATTAGTCGCCCATACGTCCTTCTGTTCATCCATCCATCCATCCATCCATCCATCCATCTGTTCATTCATCCGTCCATCCACCCATCCGTTAATCCCTCCAGCCATCCATCTGTTCATCCATCCATCCATTAGTCCCCCATACGTCCTTCTGTTCATCCAACCATCCATCCATCTGTTCATCCATCTGTCCATACACCCATCTGTTAATCCCTCCATCCATCCATCTGTTCATCCATCCATCCATTAGTCCCCCATACGTCCTTCTGTTCATCCATCCATCTGTTTATCCTTCCATTAGTCGCCCATACGTCCTTCTGTTCATCCATCCATCCATCCATCTGTTCATCCATCCATCCATCCATCCATCCACCCATCCGTTAATCCCTCCAGCCATCCATCTGTTCATCCATCCGTCCATCCACCCATCTGTTCATCCATCCATCCATTAGTCCCCCATACGTCCTTCTGTTCATCCATCCATCTATCCATCTGTTCATCCATCTATCTGTTAATCCCCCATCCATCCATCTGTCCATCCACCCATCCGTTAATCCCTCCATCCATCCATCTGTTCATCCATCCATCCATTAGTCCCCCATACGTCCTTCTGTTCATCCATCCATCCATCCATCCATTAGTCGCTCATACGTCCTTCTGTTCATCCATCCATCCATCTGTTCATCCATCTGTTCATCCATCCGTCCATCCACCCATCCGTTAATCCCTCCATCAATCCATCTGTTCATCCATCCATCCATTAGTCCCCCATACGTCCTTCTGTTCATCCATCCATCCATCTGTCCATCCACCCATCTGTTAATCCCTCCATCCATCCATTAGTCCCCATACGTCCTTCTGTTCATCCATCCATCTATCCATCTGTTCATCCATCTATCTGTTAATCCCCCATCCATTCATCCATCCTTCCATCCATCCGTTAATCCCCCATCCGTTCATATTTTCATCCATCCATCTATCCACCCATCCATCCATTAATCCCCCATCTGTCCATCTGTTCATCCATCCTTCCATCCATTAATCCTGCTGTCCTCCCACCCTACATAATTACTATGTAATAAACGGCTTTGCTCTCTGGGTAATTTGTGTCGAGGAGTACCAGGATTTTGTAATCTCACATGTATTCTTGTATTAAATCATGTCTACTATCTACTGTTATCTGTCCTTACATCCATACGTAGCACAGCCTCCTCAATGGCCGTTGATGTAGCGATCATTTCTTTGTCCACCATTTCTCCCAGCTCTTCTTTCAGCACGTCTTGCCCTTTAGGACACAGATCCTACAAAGAGGAACACAGTTAGAGCCCAGATCTCTCACGTCCGACCGTGGTCACTACCACCCACCTGTCCAATAGCGAGGATGCGCTGAACGGTGTAGCGTATGGCAGACGGGTCTGCTCTCTGTAAACTGGGCTGAAACTTGAGATCCTTCAAGAACTGAAGGCAATGATTGGCACACTCCCGACAGCTGTCAGTTAAACCTAAACAAGTCAAACGAGCACAGCTGAGGGTTTTCTGCTGGTGCCTAACACACACCACATCTGTAGCACGTCTGCTTTACCATCGGCCTGGTCCACGGGAGCAGAGTGGGACGTTGCGGCACCGTTGACAATCGTGTCAGAGGCGAGGTGGGAAAACTGTGTGACGGATCTCAACAGGCCACTGGCATCTTTCAAAGAGGAAAAACACTTTCATCAGCGCAACGTCTGAGTTAAACACAAGCTGTAAATAACTCCAACTCACCGTTCCTGTTTCCCAGGTAGGACAGGTGGCTCTGGTGCATTTTATCAATAGAACCCAGAGTGATTTCAGCTCGGTTCACCAAATAGTCTGAAAATCAGATAAAACACAACAACAGAAATCAGAGCGGCATCAACATTACCACCAAACAGTTCCCGAGCACAGCCACAACTGCAGCTCACCGCTCCCCACGGGGAAGGGTCAAATGTGCAGATGTCATTTCACCAGTGTGTGATGACTATGGGACTTTATTATGACATTCTGTCAGTGATGCCACAGTCATCCATTCACTTCAGCAAGCAAACTAACTATGAGAATGTAGTAAACATGTACCTGATTGTATTACATTACACATACATGTTAGGAGTGCGGGTCTTACATCAACTCACTGTTCAATTCAATTTGGATTCTCTGGGTGAACACAATCAACCCTCTTTGTAATAAAGCGTCAGTTCCAGGACTAAATACTTTCTTCTGTAAATTAGAACTCTGCCAAGTGTCGTTGACGTAGCGAGCCATGAATGTGATGGAAAATGCCTTCTCAAGTAATGAAACTTGAAAATTTTGAATCAATTCAGAATCTTTCTAAATAAGAATCTCAATTCGGACATGAAATGTTTTTTTCTGACACCTCTATAATACATACATACATACATACATACATACATACATACATACATACATACATACGTACGTACGTACGTACGTACATACATACATACATACTTACATATATACATACACACATACGTACATACGTACGTACGTACGCACGCACGCACGCACACACACACACACACACACACATATATATATATATATATATATAAACACACACACACACACACACACACACACACACACATATATACACATATATATGTGTATGTAATCTTGGTCAGGCTGTTCTGTGGAGTCAAGTTCCTATGCTCTGGTTCGCTGGAGCGCTGGCAATAAAATTCTCCCTGATTCTCTGATTCTGATTCTCTGATATGCATATACACACACACACACACACACACACACACACACACACACACACACACACACACACACACACACACACACACACACATATATATATATATATATATATATATACACACACACACACACACACACACACACACACACATATATATATATATATATATATATATATATATATATATATATATATATATATATATGTGTGTGTGTGTGTGTACATATATATATGTGTGTGTGTATATATATATATATGTATATATATATATGTGTATGTACATACACATATATATGTACATATATATGTGTATGTACATACACATATATATGTACATATATACGTACGTACGTATGTATGTATGTATGTATACCGTAAATCCTCTAATACAGGCCCGGGCCTGTATTTGACTCAAGCTCATCAAGCTCCAGGCCTTTATTGGAAGGAGGTCCAGAATTAGAGGCAGGCCTCTATTTCTATTTGAGCAAAATGAACTAATGGCTCGCTGGAGTTTCTGACAATTAAAATTGCGCCCACATTTTCAAAGTTAAACACATTTCTTTTAACAACGGTAGTTTCTGCTTCAGCCCTCTCCCCCCTCCCCCTGCTTCAGCCCCCTCCCCCCTCCCCCTGCTTCAGCCCTCTCCCCCCTCCCCCTGCGCAGCGGCCGCAAACTCACTGATGCGCCTGCAGCCTCTCGGAGTTCCTGCCGCTCTAACCATTAAAATAATTATTTCATTTTCTGTTCCTCACTTCTGATTACCTTCAATGGTGTCTGTTTGTTGCAACCAGCAGGTACAAAAACTAACTTGTTTTTATTTGACTATTTTTCTGTCCTGCCTGTTTATTATCTTCCTGCATCTCCTCTCAGTCCTAAAGAGAAACTGCTACCTGGGTTCATATATATTCACCTCATGAGTTACCTTTGAACTGCAGTTCTAAAAGATCTACCGACCGCTAAAACAGCGGAGTGCTCGCCGCATCAGTGATCGGTGCGTCACCGGATGATAAGTTGATGCACCCCACTCCACAGCCAAACGCATCAGGCGCAAATAAAAGACAGAAAACATCAAAGGAAATGAACTGACATGAACGATCGCCTGTTAAATTAGTTTTTGAGGTGTCGACACCTGATTGTTACTGTGGCCGTGCTCAGGAGGTAGATCTACAGACCGCAAAAACAGCGGAGTGCTCCGTGCTTGGCGGGCGCATCAGTGATCGGTGCATCACCGGAGGACAAGCTGATGTGCCCCGCTCCACAGCAGCGAAAAACATCAGGCGCAAATAAAAGACAGAAATCTTTAAAGGAAATGAACCGACATGAACGATCGCGTGTCACTACCGATGCTCTGGCACAGCCTCCTCTTCCTCTCTGCACGGTTAAAGTTACCCTCGCGGTCTATCACTGGCAAATTAAAAGTGAGACAATGACACAACCGCCCCCCGTACTTGCTTAGTACCACATTCCACCCGACCACAATAAGAGACCGGCCATTATTCACCTCCGCCGACTCCGGCCAAAATTGGAGACCCGGCCTTTAATAGAATACTGGCCTGTATTAGAGGATTTACGGTATATGTACATATATATGTGTATGTATATATATATAAATGTATATATATGTGTGTATGTATATATATATATATATATATATATATATATATATATATATATACACACACACACACACATATATATATATGTATGTATATATATATATATATATATATATATATATATATGTGTATGTATATACACATATATATATATATATACATATATATATGTATATATATGTGTATGTACATACACATATATATACATATATATTTATACATATATATATATATGTGTGTGTGTGTGTGTGTGTGTATATGTGTATCTATACAATTCCTCTGTTTTTATTACTACTTTTTACTGTTTTATATTTACTATGTTGTGAAGAACCTTGTGGCTTTTGCCTGTGACAGATGCTACACAACTAAATATTACTTACTTACTCCATCACCACATGAAGGATGACATCTTATTCCTTTTTATGTGTAAAACCTTGTTCCTGCTCCGGTTGAGTAACATATTTTAAATAAAGGTACATTTTACTGGTTTTCCTGTGAATTCTGTTGGTGTGATTCAATTAAGGCGACTAAGATGACGTTTGGGTACTAAATAATTACTGACGATAATCACTGGCCTGAGATGAGTAGTATTTCCTTTGAAGTAGGAACTAAAGTGCTTTACCAGGAGAGCTGGTGCAGCGGACGTGTATGGGGTCATCCAGTTTGGCCACAGCATCCAGTATGATGCCTTCAGCCTCCACCACAGCACACTGTAGCAGACAGAACTGCTCGTCCCGCAGCTTCTGGGCCAGTTCACCTTCTCGACACGCCTGATTTAACAAGCAGAATTCAGTAAGTCACTGATAAACTCCCAGTTTCACGCTGCGGTCGGAGGAACAAAACACCACCTGCTGTTGGAGCTGGGCGTGTAGGCCTCCCAGCTCCATGCTGCTCCTCTGCTTCTCCTGCTCCAAAGAGCTCTGGTGGAGCTGAGCTTGCTGTCTTAGAGAGTTCAGCTCAGCCTCCTGTTCCCGAACGGAGCGCAGCAACGTGTCCCTCTCCGTCTGCAACCCTGCCAACGTGCTGCTCAGCCTCGTGCCACTCTGAGGAGAAAATGTCAACGATTCCAGAGGAAATTCCACCTGAAGTAGGACTACAGAAGAACGTCAGAACCAACCATCTCTTTGCTTTGCAGCAAGCTGTTTGCTCGAGTCAGTTCTAATCTTGTAGAGTCCAGCTCCCGGTTCAGTCGCTCGATCTCCAGACTCTGCTCTGCATTTACGGCAAGCTATGAAAAACAAAACCAGGAAGAGTCATTTAGGTTTAACACTTGTCCTGCATGCACGGTTTCTGTGGGTAATACGAGCTGGATGTAGGACCATTTCTAACGTCGCTCAGAAGTAAATTTAGCGGTGATGTCTATCATGACCTCTAAGCCCCGTTTATCTTTTCAGTCAGGGGACCCATGAGCCGAACGAGTTGGGAAATGCAAATATAAGGTGGCGTATCTACGCTTACGATGTGTTAAACCAGCTTTTGTCAGACTGAATGGTTTCTCTGTTACATTAATAACTTGCATAGAAAAGCAGGTTGGAGGCGGCACAGACCGTTTGTTACATTTGACGCCCAAAGCTCTTTATTCAACAAGGAGCGAGTAGAAACGTTCCTCCTGCACAAAACAATCCAGCATGCTGGTTAGGAGCTGGTACCTGCTGCTGCAGCTGCGCTCTCAGGGCCTCCAGCTCTCGGTTGGTCCGATCTCTATCCAGGTCCAGAGAGCTCTGCTGCTGCTGCACCTGGTGTCTCAGGGTGGACAGCGCCGCGTCGTTTTCTCTTGCAGAGCGAAGCAGCGCGTCTCGTTCTGCCTGCAGAGCCATCAGGCTGCTGCTCACCTGAGTCCCCTCCTGGAGAAACAAAACAGAAGGAAAATAATACACGAGCAAAATAAAACAGCAAGACCAGCGCTGTCCTGCACACGGGCTCCAACGGTTTCAGCAATTTTGACCAAGACTCTTTGGGCTTTAGTGGCTGAAATAACTCAAGAGTATTTGTTGTTTGAGTCTGTTGTTTGTGTTTGTGTGTGTGTGTGTGTGTGTGTGTGTGTGTGTGTGTGTGTGCTCTGTCTTCTCCATCCCCAGTGAGTCGTGGCGGATGGCTGCTTATACTGAGCCAGGATTCTCTGGAAGTCTTACACGGTTCCTCGGTGAACAAATCTGAATCTCTAAAGCGATCCTCATTTGTACCTTTTCTTTATCGTCCAACGTACTACGAAGCCTGGCCATCTCTGCTTTCAGCTCCAGCAGCTCTTGATTCAGACGCTCAGCTTCCTGCTGCTGAGTCACCTGATCATGAGAAAGTATTCGTCATCATCATGAAGCACAGAGCGACTGTGTTTGATCATCAGGAGGACATTGACCCACCATGTTTCGTTTCTCCTGTCTCAGATTCTCCAGCTCGCTCTCTAAATGCTGTTTGCTTCTCAGCAGATCGTCCTGCACTTGCTGTGTGCCTGACAGCATCTTCAAGGTTTCTGCATTCTGCACAAGAAGCCACAGGTCGGAACCTTCTCCTACAAACTGAAAAAAGCTCAAATCGTGAAACCCAAGAGTTTGAAATGACCTTCTTCATGAGATCAGCGTGACTTGTGACCAGCTCTGCGTGTCGCTCCTTTAACTGAGTAAATCTGACCTCTGCAGCCTGAGCTCGATCTGTGCCGAAGAAGAGCAGACATTTAGGGGCTTCTTTAGCTTGGCTCATTCATCAGATCACAGAAGTTTTCACTCACTGTCTGCTTCTTTGTATCCAATCTGAGCCCCGACATTAGCCACGTTAGCGCTGCGTAACGCATCCACTTCCATCCGCAGGTGCTCGTTTTCCACCAGAGCCACCTGTTTGTGGGTGCGCTGCTCCTCCACCTCGGCTTCCAGACGATTCACTTGGGACTTCAACTCAGTGACACACCTCTGGGCCTGGAGAAGAGGAAATGACCTCAGTGTTTACTGGAACAACTCCAACGAGGCTCAGATGTTACCGATATGTAGGTTCTTTGTTACAGGACGGTTTGAGACCAACAACTAAAGCACAGTTACAGACCTTCATGTTCCCTATTATTATTTACATTTAAAAAGACAACAATACATAAAAAAGCCCATTTGGTGCTGATACAAATACACACATGTTGCTGTACACAGTTCATGATTTATTCAATGCAAGTTGTTGCTCTTGTGAATCTTCTTTGCTGCTGTTACACACAAACGTTCCCACTGAGGGACAGTAAAGGAATTTTCTAATCTGCGTGCTGTTTTCCAAACCTAATGTGCCATTATTCCCACCACCATGCTCAAACTTAGAGCATCCATCTAACGAGGACATTTGTATTTCTTTATCGATTCCAGTGAGAGAAAGAGGATAAATAAATAAAGTAATAAAGGATTAAATAATGACACAAACTAAATATTAGTTATCATGGACGTAGTTTTGAGTTTCGAAGTGGCGGGGACACAACCGGCATGAAGACCGGGGGGGTGGGGGTCTTAACAGTAATTATACGTAAAAACTACAGCCTAGAGACTCTTTTATGTAATGTCAGGAATGCAGAAACGTCAAGTACACAGATGGCAGGAATGGCCAATCACACATTAGCAAGTATCAGCAGAGCCAATAGATGAGCTCATGGACGGTTCTCCTGGGAAACGGGCTTCTAACACAAGCGGTCGTTTTCCACGTGGTCCTGGTGCTCAACCAGTGTCTGTTTAATATAGAGTATTACTGTTTTTGGATGATAGAAGTGCAGGGGACAAAAACTGACTTTGGAAAGGGTGGGGGGGGGGGGGGGGGGGGGACTTGACCCCCCGTCACTCCCCCAAAATTTACGTCCATGTTAGTTATTGAATCTGTGTTTTTATTTAAATGTTAAAAAACTGACAACCTCACTTCCTGACACCTGAAGCGGCTAAAACTGACGATGGGTGACCAAGCGTTTGTTCTGTCAGGAGGCGCCACGCAGTGCCAGAGCGTCACTTTCTGACACCCGCGGTAAAACGGTGATTTCACCAAATTGTGACCTTTACACTCTTGCTATTCAACCTTCACCTCACCCCATCCTAACCTTAACCCGCTTGTGCATGCAAAGCTTTGTTTCTAGTTGTCGTCCCTCTCAAACACGGATAAGGTTAGGATGGGGGTGAGGCGAAGGTTAAATATCAAGAGGTTAGAGGTTAAATGTCGGTGAAATGTGCGTTTTATCGCTGGCTTCGGAAACCGATGCCCTGGCACCGAGTATCTCGTGAGGGCAAAACATATGTTTAACTCACAGTTTGGGAGATTGTTTCTATCTTTACACTGAAGTCACATCAACCAGTTTGGATGTGTAATTAACAGCGTTTAAATCACCAGAAGGTTTTTGAAAGCTGCAGCTCTGTGGTTATTTACACGTGTAAACATCACCATCAGAAAACGGCAGCTGGCAGGAACTTGGTGATGCTTCTTAAATAAGGAATGCAAATTAAGGTGGCACAAAGGGAGCTTAAAACTCTCATCGGACAAAGTAAACAGCAATATAAAGATATGATTGAAACCTCTATTTGTCAAGACCAAAACTTGGAGGACCCGTGATGACGCCAAACACAGTAAAGCTCCTTTAACCCTTTGATGCATGAATTATTAAATCTTCAACCATGATTTTTTAAACAATTTTTTTCATTCATCTTTAGGTGTGAATGAAAAAAATTTCAACAAATATTTTTTGTAACATTTTGGTAATTTACAAATACTTTATTACATGTCCATCTCAGTGGACAACGTGCATTCTGAACATGAAATATGTTGGCTTGACTTACTGAAGTCCAAATGGAGGGGCTCACATGCAATAAAGTCTTCAACAGCTATGCTTAATAGCAAAAATAAAGAAATAACAATTTCCAGTACCTGTCCACTGTAGTGACCATTATGCATCAAAGGGTTAAAAGTCTTAATTAGATGTGGCGTTTCCCGAGGAGGGCGAGGCTGGAGACAGTCGGAGAGGAGGCGTGGGTCAAAAACCAGAACGAGGCGAAGCAGGTAAATGGAGCAGGCTAGAGAAGGGGTCAAAGACAGGCGAGGGTCGTGATGGCAGGCAGGGTCCTAGGCAGGGGTCAGGCGAGAAAACGAGGTCCGGAGGCTGTGATCAGGCAAGGTGCAAGGCTGGAAAATCTACTGACAAAGAGCGTTCAGTAATCTGGCAGGGAACTGGTGGCTGGCTGGTGAATATATAGCAGGGGGAGCAGGTGAGCAGGGTGAGGTGATGGTAATTAAGTGGCTGAGGGCTTGATTGAGGAGGCAGCAGAGGCAGGGGAGGATGTAAGCGTGGGAGTCATGACACTATCGACGTTTCTAATTCGAAGTGTCTTTGGGACAGGATGAAAACCATGACTGGCTATGGGGGTAAGACAGGTTTACACAGCACTGGGATGGATGTGAATGAGATGAACCAGTCGTACGTGGAGGTGAACAGGACACACATGGCGACCGCCCGACCATGAAACCCAAGCCCGCCTCCTCTTACCTCGCTCTTGATGAGCTCTATCTCCGGTTTCAGAGCTTCTGGCTTTGGCTCCCTCTTCCAGCTGTCAGTTCCAGTTTCTCTGTGCTCCACAGAAGATTCAGGTGCTCCCATCTGGCTGAGTAAGTAGTACTGTCATAATCGTAAACAAAACCTCATATTAAAAATCCCACGTCATCCTTTCACGTGTTTTTGAGCGGAGCATACCTGGGGCGCCTCTCTGAGCTCTGGCTGCGTCTCCACTTCCTCCTCCTCATGATGATCCTCGTTGGGCATCACCACCACCGGCTTTTTATACTCCGCTAAGGCAGCAGCTCGGAGGAAGTTTGGAGGGGCCTGTGGAGTAAGAATCAACGCATTACTTACTAAACAAATACAATAAAATCATATTTTAAACCTCTTTTCCCATCTCTTACGTCTGGGAGATCCGGGATCTGGATGATAGTTTTAAAGAACTCCGTTTCTCGGGCCCGGTTGAAGAACTGTGTGAGGCTGCACAAAACAAAAATAACACATCTGCTCTAATGAGTTGGTAAAGTACACAATAAATAAATAAAGTACCATCGACCCACCTCGCAAACAGGTCACGGAATCTCTCTCGATGCCCCAGAAGGGCATCCGGAGGAATGCCTAAGAAGCGAGGATGCTGATTAGTCTAAATCTGGACCAGAGAGGAAGACCTGTGCAGGTGAAAAGCAGCTCTGCCACTCACGGCTGTGAAGTTTGAACATCAGTCGGACGGAGAAGTGGTAGAGGAAGCTGCAGTCCTGTATGAGTGGAATGAGCGGAGCCAGTCTGCACTGTCCTGCTGAGGTCGTAGACTTGGCTCCGTTAGCATCCATCTGACGAAGAACTTTAAACAAGCAGAGCGCGTCACAAATCGTACTTCTAACTGAAGTTTGGGTTGTATGAGTCATCAGAGGAAATAGTGCTGATGGGTGAGTACAGTTTTAAACAGCAGACATCAGAACTGGAACTATTTAGGAAATAAGACATCTTACCTGTCTCAGACATCTTCAGTCCAGCATCCAGGTAATCCAGCAGCTCCTGTGTCATATCTAACCTGTAATACATCAAGCATCATTCATTAGAGACCATTCTTGGCAGCGTTTTACCTGCAACAAGCAGAAATCAGAGCTAATTCAGCTTCCAAGATCAGAGAGAAAACCTGACGGGGAGTAAATCAGAACGTGACCTACAGGTAAAACTCAAAAAACTTAATTATGGTGTAAAAGTTCATTTATGTCAGTAATTCAACTTAAAAGGTCAAACTAATCTATGAGATAGACTCATTCCTTGATGACTGGGGCTTACAGCTCATGAAAACCCCACATTCAAAATCTCAGTCAGAATATTCTAATCTAGACCCAAAGTGTCACACTCCGATCAGCTGATGACTCCAGAACAGCTGCAGAAGGTTCCGGAGCCTTTAGATGGTCTCGCAGTCTGGATTACTGACATTAATGGACTTTTGCACCAGATTCTCGTGTTTCCTGTTTCAAAAAGCAAAAAGCTGAAGGTATTTTAGCAAATCCTGCACACTGAAAAAAGGATGGGCCTAAAAAGTTGTCTTTAAGTAATCTAATTACATGTAAATGTTTCATGCAATCGTGTTACATGATGCTACCGTAAGAGGTAACCTGATTTTATGTTTGTTTAACTATTTTAATAAATAATGGTTGTGAATTTATCAATGCTAATCAAACCTTACACAGAAAGTTCAGTTGGTGATTACGGAGGCCAAGATGACTAAGATTGTTTTAAACGCATTTCTCTGTTTTCTTTTGAGTGCATGCAGTTTGCTTTGTTCCTCTTCAGCTCCAATGACACACTGGGGGTTTGCTGCACCCTAGCAAACACTCTAACGGTCCTCAGATATTCAAAAGTCTGGATAAATAACATTAGTGATAAAAAATGTATTTAAATCTTTCATTTAAGTATTAACCGATGTTTGCTTGGTCCAATAATCATTTTCAGAGTGCAGGAATTCAACCAGGTTTAGTTGATTTTAAAGCCAGAGGGCATATATATGACCCAGAGTGCTGCCTTCTTGCCCTCACTGTTCCATTAGAAGGAAACAGGACTAGCATCACACCTTTTCATGCTCAAAGAAGCTCTGCTTCACAGCTAAACCAGAGGACGCCGCTGGTCCCGCCATCAGTGGACCGCTCACGTCGGCGTTACGAGAAAGAGCCACTCACAGCAAAACGATCGCTCTCTAGCTTGTTCTTTTTATCATAAAATTAGGGATGGACAACATGAGCCGCACTTGTATAGCGCCTCTCAGAGTCAGGACTCCAAAGCGCTTTACACTACACTGTATCATTCATCCATTCACACACTGGTGATGATGAGCTACGATGTAGCCACAGCTGCCCAGGCGATGCTGCCGAGCACCGGCATCACCGGTCCCTCCAACCACCACCAGCTGGCAAGGTGGGTTAAGAGTCTTGCTCAAGGACACAACGGCAGAATTCTCTGTCCGGAGCCGGGATCGAACCTGCAACCTTCCGATTACTGGACAACCCGCTCAACCTGTTGAGCTACTGCTGCCCCAATATATCGGCATCAATATCGGTATCGGCTGATGTTTGTCATTTTTTAACATAACGGTATCGGTCTGATGAATAAAACCGAGCCGATATTAACGACCGGTGTCGGTACAGGATCTGCTCGGGTGCAAGATCGGCTCGGGGTCCTTCGACTGCCGATGACGTCAAAGTACGGCAAACCCACTCGGACAAAATACACTACACATCTATACTGTTGGAAAGAATTTAGCAGTTTCGTTATTAAAATAATGTTTCTTACGACGTAAGTTTGTGTTTATAATGGTATTTGTAAAATAAAACACTATGTTGTATTTATAATGTTGAACTCCTCTTTGAGCACATCCCTTGAAGGATCATAGGTATTAGCAACACCTGTGAAATTGTATATGCAGGAAAGAAGTGTGTCCCGTTTATTGAAGTATTTTGTGTTTAGAGTTTTTGACATCTTGTCCATGCGTAGTTCAGCTACGCTCATAGCTGCTAGCCAAAACTCTGGAGTTTAAAGTTTTCTGGCTTTACTAAAATACCTGTCTGTACTTATTTGATTGATGGTAGTTTTACTTTCTATTAGACTCCAAATGTAATCATTTGGCACGTTTCTACTTCATAATTTGTAAGAATGTAATTGGTGATATTAGCATTAGCATTCCTATGGGTTTTTCCACGTATATTAGCATTGCGCTAACCACTCGCTGCAAAATTGCAGCCTTTGCGATTAGAAAATCTCCTTTTGTCACATCGCAATTTAATTGCACATGCAGTTAATCGTTCAGCCCTAATATACATGCAGCTCTATGCTAAAAGTGTATTTTCAAAGAGGTAATGATGGATTTCTTTGTAAAAGTTGTCCATCTTTCCAACAGAAAGATTTGCCTGGACCAACGTAACGTGATAACAACGTAACGTGATTACGTAATTCCGTAAGGTTCATGTTCAGCCAATCAACTACTTTGACGTCATCGGCAGTCGACGGACCCCGAGCCGATCCTGTACCGACACCGGTATTTTTTCCCATCTTGTCTCCATTTGTTTACCTGTTTCGAAGGGTGAGGGGTGAGGGTGTTTATTTGTTTAGTCATGTGACTGTTATTGTAACCATCTTAGAAGCAGTACTGTGTGTGTATGTGTAAATTCTGCTTTAATGATTTTCATTCTTTACAAAATCTGCTGATTTTAGAAGCATTAATGTCAGTATATCGGTATCGGCCTTAACAGTTATCTTAATATCGAATATTGGTATCGGCCCAAAATTTCTTATCGGTGCATCACTACAAAAATCATTAAATTAGGGTGTTTAATCAAATGTTTGGATTGTCTTTTATTACAAATTCTGCAGTTAGAATATCAAACACTTTCCAATCCTGGAAAATAACTTCTTGAAATTGAAGCACCTGCACGAATTCTGACGTTTACTCTGCAGCTTTTATCTAATGTGGTCTATTAAATATATTTTCTGTAAAACAAAAGTGTCAAAATGAAAAATACTCATCTGATGCAAAAACAGTGTAGTATGAAAATGAATTTAAAGGCTCTAGAAAGAGCCCACTCTGATCTTCAGCCTGCTTCTGACTTCTGCCTACAGCAGGTAAGACACTGACTACTCAGAAGAACTGAAAACAAGCAGCTGTCACACGACCAGATCACATGACATAAAACGTACACTTGTGTCATTTCAGTTCCTGCTTCCCGCTCTAGAGTGTCATCAGTGGCCTCCAGGTTACCGGGGATCACTTTGTGCTGTTGAAGGAACAGGAAACGTTAAACACGCCATACTTCCTGGATGATGATAAGATCACATTCTCCTTTTTGCTGTCGTTTATGTGGGTTGTTGCAAAACTATCTGGTTTCTATTCAGGACGAAACTCACCGTACCACACACAAACCAAGTCAGAAAAGCTTTACCTTTGCATGAAACTCTATTTTCAGGTAGAGATATTTAGCAGACAAGGCGACGATGTGACCGTATCGATCGTGCAAGTTTCCCTAGAAGGAGGGAGGGAGAAGTTTAGACAGCTTTATTTACACCCACCTAATTTCACTCAATTAAATTCAATTCTGTGTCCAAATATTTAAAACCAGAACAAATATTTGACACAATGAAGGTAAGATTGAAAGAAAACAAACTATTTGTCACACTGGTTTTAGAAATTTGACCAAAAAATGTTCAGAAAAATTCCTCAGCTTCTTAAAGGTCCTCTTTACTCATATTTTAATGCATTTGCACTGGTCTCCAGTAGGAATGCAGGTCTTGCAAGCCATACGCTGGGGAATAAAAGCTCCGGTGCGCCTGTTTCAGCTTGAGGAGAGAGCAGCTTCAGACGGCAGGATCTGGAGTCTTATTTCCTGGTATTTGGACATCTCTCCTCTGATTGGCTAACAGCAACACGACTCTACCACTGACTCTGTTCGCTCTGCAACGCTGATGTTTTATCTCCACAAGTACCACAAGCATGGAGGAGTTCTGCTGTGTGGTGGAGGTGCTAATGCTAACGGCTAGCTTCTACTAGCCAAGACATTTTCTGCTGCTTCCTGGACGCTAAACCATCAACAGCCTTCCCCGTCGTGAGTCAAGATGGGTGAGTCCATGAATGTGACAGTGTGACGGAAACTCAGAGTAAACGATAAAAAATGTTTTTTTTTTCCAGTGAAGTCGACCTTTAAAAAAGATAAATTCATGTTCATATGAGTGAATACCGGGTCAGACTGTTTTGTCTTAGAGAAACACAAACAGATGAGATGGATTACTAAAGCTTTTCAGAGACACTCACCCACAAGACGCCCATGCTCTTCACATTACGGCTGTATCTGTGAGAATCTGCAACAGCCTTTATTAGATCAAAGGAAAACAAAGCTGGTTACACGTCATCTTCATCATCATCATCACGAGAAAGCACTTAAGAATGTCATGGTCTGCGTTCTTCGTCCCCCTCATGTGTTCCCCAGCCCCCCTCCAGGTTCTCCCCTTAGGTTCCTGTGCCCCTTTAGGTCTCCAGCTCCCTCCAGGTTTTCCCAGGTTCACTTATTCTGTAGTTAGGCCCGAGCAGCGAAAGCGCTGCGAAGGCCTCTTGTTTTTGCTCTGATTATTAGGCCCGAGCAGCGAAAGCGCTGCGAAGGCCTCTTGTTTTTGCTCTGATTATTATTATTAGGCCCGAGCAGCGAAAGCGCTGCGAAGGCCTCTTGTTTTTGCTCTGATTATTATTATTAGGCCCGAGCAGCGAAAGCGCTGCGAAGGCCTCTTGTTTTTGCTCTGTTTATTTTTATTTATTATTCTTAGCCCGCTTTGAATGGCTTTTTGGGGACCTTATCATACCCCAAAACTCACAATATTTTGCAAAGATGTCAGGCCTGGTGAAAAATTTGATATTTTAATGGTCCCAAAAAAATTGCAAAGAAAATGGCTGAACAGCGCCCCCTAGAAAGTGAAAAAAACCCTTCTCCATAAAGCTTAGTTTATCGTACAATTATGAAATTTGGTACACTTGTAGTACTCCCCAGTCCGCACAGAAAAGTCTCTTGCAAGCATGGTCAATATCAAACAGGAAGTCGGCCATTTTGGGTTGAAATGGCGATTTTTAGCCGTTTTTGCCGTTTTTAGGGTCCGTTTCTGATTGGATTGCTCGATAAATTTTCGCACCATCATCTCAAAAATTGTGTCAAATTGCTCAGAAGGGATGGCCGAACAAAATGAGATGAGGATTCTGAGTTTTCGTATATGTTGAAGGGGCGGGGCCAGGCCTCAAAATTTGACTACTCGCCAAAAAAATTTAAATTGCTATAACTTCATAACTGAATAAAATAGAGTTACAAAACTTTCTGTGGTCATTCGTCATCCACCCACAAAGTAAATTGAATGGTCGGATGATGACATCACTCAAGCCCCGCCCCCTCAGGACCAAAAAGATCAAGTTTTACTGTGAAAGGTCCCAAATTGCCCCATTTCACTTAATCACCACGAATTTGTAGCTGGTAACTCAAGACAAGTGGGGGTTGCTTGGCGTCACTTTATGGGAGTTTTCGGCAGAGGGCGGGGCTGTGGCGGCGCGGCGAAGTCAGGCGTACCGCCGTGGCCTTACGTTTGCCTCCCATTTCGTCATTTCTAAAGATATCGTCACGAAACTTCTTGTGAGTGATCCTAGTCCGGCCCCCCAAAAGATCTGATGTGAACATCCGGTGGGCGTGGCCTATTTTCTGAAATAGCGCCCCCTAGGACGATTAAAACTGTCAGCCCCAAGCCATGCTTTGACTGAGGATTACGAAATTTGGTACACTAATGTGGTGTCTAAGGACCTACAAAAAAGTCTCTTGGAGCCAAGTGCAAAGTCGTACAGGAAGTCGGCCATTTTGGTCCAAGTGTGCGATTTAGTGGTTTTCACACACGTTGTTTGGAGAGTGATGCTCCGTCGCCCTTTTCACCAATCGCCTTCAAACTTCTGCTATATACTCTTAAGACATAGAGGAAAAAATTCAACCGTCGGATTTTAAATAAGTATAAAGGTGTGGGCGTGGCTAAGCCTCAAACATTGACCTTTCGCCACGCCACTCTTTTTTTCACAGCTCCCTATTGGACCCATTTTACCCAATCACCAGTAATCTCTGGTAAATAGCAGCAGACAAGTTGAGGTCACTTGGTCTCCAGTACTGGAAGGTTTTGAGAAAAGGCGGGGCTTTGGGAGCATGGCGAAATTCGCCATCACGCCATGGAGATACGTTTGCCTCTCATTTCTTCATTTATCGTGATATCACCTCGAAACTTGTTGTGAGTGATCCTAGTCGAACCCCCAATAGAAATGGATGGCTGAAGTTTGTGGGCGTGGCCTATTTTCTGAAATAGCGCCCCCTATGTCCATTAAAACTGTCAGCCCCAAGCCATGCTTTGACTGAGGATTGCAAAATTTGGTACACTAATGTGGTGTCTCAGGACCTACAAAAAAGTCTCTGGGAGCCAAGTGCAAAGTCGCACAGGAAGTCGGCCATTTTGGTCCAAGTTCTCGATTTAGTGGTTTTCGCACACATTGTTTGGACAATGATACCCCGTCGCCCTTTTCACCGATCACCTTCAAACTTCTGTTATATTTTCTTAAGACAAAGGGGAAAAAATTCAACCGTCGGATTTTAAATAAGTATAATGGTGTGGGCGTGGCTAAGCCTCAAACTTTGACCTTTCGCCATTACATTACTTGACTTAACAACTCCAATGTGCATGATCAGATCTATATCAAACTTTGTCCGTGTGATCAATGACCAAATCTCAAGACAACGTCATTGTGGACAGGTGACATCACCTAAGCCCCGCCCCCTGACAACAGGAAGTCTATTGTTTTATGGTGAAATGCCCATATTTGTCCTCTCTAATTTAGTCAACATGACACTAAGGTCAGGCACTGTCTTCATGATGTTGCAATGACCATTCAGATCTGATAACTTTCCAGATAGGGAGGGGCTTTGATGCCATGGCGATTTCTGGCATGACGCCATGACCTTACGTTTGATCGTAACTTCCACAAACAGCCTCCCATCTGCACGAGACTGAACATGGCAATCAACAATCATGCCCTTTAGCCAATGAGACACAAATGGTTGGTGAAATTCGTATAATAACACCACAGCACCCCCTACACAACATTAAAACTGTAATAACTCCTACAGACGAGGTCGTAACTGCACCAAACTTGGTGTGCTCAGAGGGGATGCTCAGTCAGGGTGAGGTGCGGACGAGGTGACCGTTAGCTGTTTCTGGTGTCGGGGTGGTCAAAATTTTTGTTCCACGGACGTAACCTGGTGCCTCGGGCTGCCGGCCAGGCCGGAGCGGCGCAGAGCTGCGAGGGCCGAACGACGCTGCTTGCAGCTTTAATTATTATTTATTATTCCGTGCGCGAAATGAATGGCTTTTTGGGGACCTTAACATACCCCAAAACTCACAATATTTTGCACAATTGTCAGGCCTGGTGAAAAATTTGATATTTTAAAGGTCCCAAAAAAATCGCAAAGAAAATGGCTGAACAGCGCCCCCTACAAAGTGAAAAAAACCCCTCTCCATAAAGCTTAGTTTATCGTACAGTTATGAAATTTGGTACACTTGTAGTACTCAACAGTCCGCACAGAAAAGTCTCTTGCAAGCATGGTCAATATCAAACAGGAAGTCGGCCATTTTGGGATGAAATGGCGATTTTTGGCCGTTTTTGCCGTTTTTAGGGTCAGTCTCTGATTGGATTGCTCGATCAATTTTCGCACGATCGTCTCAAAAATGGTATAAAATTGCTCAGAAGAAATGGCTGAACAAAATGAGACAAGGATTCTGAGTTTTCGTATATGCTGAAGGGGCGGGGCCAGGCCTCGAAGTTTGACTACTCGCCAAAAAAATTAAAACTGCTATAACTTCATAATTGAATGGAATAGAGTTACCAAACTTTCTGTGGTCATTTGTCATCCTCCCACAAAGTAAAATGAATGGTCGGATGATGACATCACACAAGCCCCGCCCCCTCAGGACCAAAAAGGTCAAGTTTTACTATGAAAGGTCCCAAATGGCCCCATTTCACTCAATCCCCACAAATTTGTAACTGTTAACTCAAGACAAGTGGGGGTTGCTTGGCGTCACTTTATGAGAGTTTTCGACAGAGGGCGGGGCTGTGGCGGCGCGGCGAAGTCAGGCGTACCGCCGTGGCCTTACGTTTGCCTCCCATTTCGTCATTTCTAAAAATATCGTCACGAAACTTCTTGTGAGTGATCCTAGTCCGGCCCCTCAAAAGAACTGATGTGAACATCCGGTGGGCGTGGCCTATTTTCTGAAATAGCGCCCCCTAGGACCATTAAAACTGTCAGCCCCAAGCCATGCTTTGACTGAGGATTACGAAATTTGGTACACTAATGTGGTGTCTCAGGACCTACAAAAAAGTCTCTTGGACCCAAGTGCAAAGTCGTACAGGAAGTCGGCCATTTTGGTCCAAGTACGCGATTTAGTGGTTTTCGCACACGTTGTTTGGAGAGTGATGCTCCGTCGTCCTTTTCACCAATCTCCTTCAAACTTCTGCCATATGCTCTTAAGTCATCGGGGAAAAAATTCAACCGTCGGATTTTTCAAAAGTTGAAAGGTGTGGGCGTGGCTAAGCCTCAAACTTTGACCTTTCGCCACGCCACTCTTTTTTTCACAGCTTCCTATTGGACTCCTTTTACCCAATCACCAATAATCTCTGGCAAATAGCAGTAGACAACTTGAGGTCACTTGGTATCCAGTACTGGCAGGTTTCGAGTAAAGGCGGGGCTTTGGCAGCATGGCGAAAATCACCATCACGCCATGGAAATACGTTTGCCTCTCATTTCTTCAGTTATTGTGATAGCGCTACGAAACTTCTTGTAAGTGATCCTTGTCTGACCCCCAAGAGACAAACATAGCTGAAATTTGTGGGCGTGGCCTATTTTCTTAAATAGCGCCCCCTAGGACCATTTAAACTAATAGCCCCAAGCCATGCTTTGACTGAAGATTACGAAATTTGGTACACTAATGTGGGGTCTCAGGACCTACAAAAAAGTCTCTTGGAGCCAAGCGTAAAGTCGCACAGGAAGTCAGCCATTTTGGTCCAAGTACGCGATTTAGTGGTTTTCGCACACGTTGTTTGGAGAGTGATGCTCCGTCGCCCTTTTCACCAATCACTTTCAAACTTCTACTATATACTCTTAAGACGTAGGGGAAAAAATTCAACCGTCGCATTTTTCAAAAGTTGAAAGGTGTGGGCGTGGCTAAGTCTCAAACTTTGACCTTTCGCCATTACTTTACTTGACTTAATAACTCCCATGTGCAAGATCAGATCTTTTTCAAACTTTGTCT